TTTCATTGATGATCCCAAACACGTTATAAAAGTGTTTAACTGTATTAGTAATGTTTGTTGTGTTGTCAGAGGGCTACATTTCCCTCTTTGGGTAAGGGGCTAACAAATGACTTTATTTCCCAGTTTCCAGATTGACAGTATGAAAAAGGCAATTTGACTGAAAATGTATACATGCAGTGGAGTTAAATCTCTTGCATGTTAAATGTTTCATATAGACAATGAATTGATCAGTGAGCTTCACACTCAATAAACATAGAATTTGTGAAAACGAGAGCATATTATCAAGTAGTATACAGGTAACATGGGTAGCTGCTCAGCTGAGGGGTTAGTGCCAAGATCTTATTCGATTATTGTGAGCTGGCACATCTAAATGGCCCATAGAACAGGCGGGCCATGGGTTAAGAGCATCGGACTTACAGACAACTCATCCTAATATAATTTTGTGTCGTAATTTACAAAATGTTTCAAACCGATTGCCAAGCCCAGAATCAGAAAAATATGAGTGATCCCTAGAGGGAATTTTTTTCTGTATCAGTTGTTCAACAACCAGAAGGACAAAAGGGAAAGCAAAATAAAGTTAAAAAAGTAAGTACAAGTAGTAGTACAAAAATATTACAATAAACAGTAAAAAACAGTAAAAAACGATAAACCGGTCAGTGTAGTAAATTGCCCAATGTGCATTAGTATAGCTAAAAATAGATTAAAACTGTACAGATATGTGTCCTTCAAAAAAAACGAAACCAAAAAAAAAATAGATAACTGGCCACTTGGAGGAAGGATCTCCGGTGGCGTTCAGTAGTACTTTTAATTGTTCTGAGTCTCCTGAGTGCTCCTGTGTTCAGCCACCACTCTGTGCAAAGGGTGGCAGATGTTGCCCATGACGGAAAGGAATTTGGACAATGTCCTCTCTTCTACCACCATCTGGAAAAAGTCCAACTCCACTCCCAGGACAGCTCCGGCTTTGCTAATCAGTGTATTGAGACTGTTGGCATCAGCCACCCTTAGGCTCTTTCCCCAGGAGACCACTGCGTAGTAAATGGTCCTGGCTACCACCGACTCATAAAACATCTTCAGCATAGTGCCAAAGATGTGGAAAGGTCGAAGTTTCAGCAGGAAAAGGGGTCTACACTGGGCCTTCTTGTAAATGGCAGCAGAGTTTTTAGTTCGGTCCAGTTTATTGTCCAGGTGGGCACCCAGATGTTTGTATTGCTGCACTGTCTCCACGCTTGTTCCTTGGATGGAAAGGGGAGTAGCAGGAGTACCAGACCACCCAAAGTCCACCACCAGCTCCTTTGTTTTGCTGATGTTGAGCTGTAGGTGGTTCAGCTCATACCAACACACAAACTGTCCCCCACCTCCTGCTAACCCCCCCCCATACGCCCCTAATACTTCATGCTGCTTATCCAGCACCACAACTCTAAGGTCAGTGCTGATAATCACAAGTCTATTTTGGCAATAAAATACTTTTTTTGTGATTTAATTTTCCAGCTATAATCTTCCCAAAAAAAGAAGGAAATTAATACACAATTGTCACTAAGAACTATAACCACCTTTGGATTAACTTTATAGTATGTATACAACATACACAGGGGCCATCTTCTGTCTAATTGGAAATAAAATGTTTGATATACTGTACTAGCACATCCATGAGACCACCTACGAAGATACTAATGAACACATATTGTGCTTCCAGCACTGGGAGTTGGACTGGATGGAATATTATTAGCTATGGGAGAGAGAGAGAGCTATCTGTTACAAAGCAATTACATCATACAAAGACATTTGTCAAAAAGGGGATGAAACTACCTTATATTTAATATTTAATGGCAAAAACATACTTGAGTTGATACCTGACAACAGCATTTTACTTCAGCTTACCTTCAGCTTACCTGGACCACAGAAATAATGTGAAACATACACATAGCAGTTGGTTTGAGGTGAACAGATCATCAGAACTGTGTTTCATTTAAAGAAATGTTGTACATTACCACATCATGAAGTTGTGTCTCAGGGAAATAATGATGTTCTCAAGATTTACACAAAATGAAGTTCAAACTAAAATTGTGAAGAAACTTCCAAGAAAAACACAGGATGCATCATACATCTTTACAGGAACACACCGTGACTTTTGTATTGTAAGTTATTAGGCTATGATGGATACATGTATATATATATGAAAAGGCCAAGCCATAAGTGACATGTGTTGTTTCATTTCTTGACTCAGAGTTCTAGAAAACCCAGTTTTCAAATAATTTATATATATACACATTTACACACCTGCGCAATAATACATATATAAATAATTATAACAATAATAATATATTATTATTATCATTGCAGATGCACAATATATTTTCTTTGCATACTGTATGTTTTTTACATTTATTTTATTTTGTTACATCTGCAAACAAGACTGTCACACAATTGACAGCACTATTAGAACTCCTTTCCTGATTATAATTCCAGCCATTATGAGACAAACAGTACTAGCTTAAAAAGCAGAAAAAGATAGCTATTACTCCATGTAATCAAATTAAAATGATGATTTTAACATCATTAGTCACATTGATGGCTTAAATATACAGTTAATCAAGCAATCTAATTACAGACTTATTAGTTGTAGGAGTGCTGTACTTTCCGGACAGTTAAGGTCAGTACTTTGAAGGTCAGCACCTTAATGCTGATTAAATATGAAACTGCAAGAAAATCTGCATCAACAAAAAGCTTCCATCAGTGGAGTTTTACAATGTCAAAGTCAAAGTGCACATGGATCTCTAGGGTGTCTGCGAATCACGAGTCACAGAAGGGTATGGTCTAACCCCGCTCATTTGTTCCAATAATACGAGCATTATTGTCGTTATTCATTGATGATTTATTTGTTTGTGTTTGCTTCTTCCTAGCATTATCTGCATTCCAGACTAGCATACATCAGACCATATGCCCCATTAGACACCACAGTACCTCAGGGGATTGTTGTAGTATACTCATTTTTATGTACTTCAGCATCTGTTCCAAATATCATTTCTGCAGGTGCTTACTGGACCATCCTGTGGGTTTCTTTGCACTCCTGCCCTCCAACCTATTTGCATCTGGAAATGGATTTCAGATGGAAACGAACATGGTTGACAAAGCAAATCAACTGGTTATTTCTTTACAATGTCAATGATTTGTCTGATGTGCGCTACAGTGAGGGCATTTGTTTGTACTACAGTTTAATTGAGATTGAACAGGGCAATCCGTTGTTTTTTTTCATTTCCGCATTAATCTACTGTTAGGACCAGTTAGCAGATCTGTTATATCAGAAACCACTGAACAGTGTAATGAATTAAAGGGTGTATTAGGACAATTTATTTAAGGTGAACTTTCGTTGTATTTGTCTTGTTTTGCCTATCAAAAAAAATGGATTTCAGTGCTATCTAGTTAAATTATGGACTTCATGGCATTCATTTTATGGTCAGAATGCCTGAAATTATGATTTTTTTTTATTTAAATTTAGACTGACATGTCTGGATCTAGAATTGTACATTGCAATCTAATGAATCTATGTGTCTTTTTATGACATTTTGGGCATGTATTGAGTTCTGGTACTATACACTAAAACAGGCTGAACAGACTAAAGCCAATTGTCAGAATCGCTTTAATGACTAATTTAAATCTGGTGTTGTAAATAAATTTAATTCAATTAATTTTTATATAGCACCCAACAAGGTTGGCCCGAAGGGCTTAAGACAGAGTTGAATAACAGTGGCACTTACTAACAGACCATCACTCATGGTAACGATGATCTAATTCGATAGTGAATATGACCGAGAAGACAAGAGAAGACAGGAAAGAAAACTCCAAGGTTTGATAGGGGAAAAACACCTCTGGGGCCAAAGGTGAAATAGCTGTCCAAACCCCCCTGGGTATGCTAACAATCGGCAGGCCAGAGAGTCGTGTGTAATTTTTGTATAGTGCTTTCTTCTGTCACTCAGTCTGGAGGTCATAACTCATGCTGATCAGTAACCAAAAAAAGCAAAGATGAGCCGAGAAAGGACGAAAAACAGCAGCATGTACAGTAGTCCCAGCAGCCTTATTTATGTTAGGCCAAGCTGAAGTCATAGATCTTCAGTCTGGATTTAAATCTGGTGACCGGGGGAAATTCCTCACATTTGCTGAGTATAGCTCTCTGTCTCTTTCACAGGAACCTATACACTATTCACTGGAAGTGAAAGATTACTTATGTTAACCTTAGGCACCCTTTAAGCAAAGCTATGGGTTGCATCAGATTACGTAAATCTTTGTTAATTATTTCTTGCTCTGCTTTCTCTCTCTCTCTCTCTCTCTCTCTCTCTCTCTTTCTTTCTCTCTCTGCATTCCTAGAAATCAACACAAAAGTGTCAGTTCTATAGATGTAAAATTCTTGTTTTGTAATTTTGTTAGGTGAGTGATGGCGGGCCTGAATGCTATACTATGGACAGGGCCACCAATGTGGGGGGGGGCTGGATTATTTGTCCCCTGGACCTGGGTCATGATATTAGTGGGAACTTTATATTGTATCTGTAAATGACAAAACGTCTTGTTAGTTTTTATCTTCTGACTTTTCCTTGCCAGTAAGTGACCTGTGCACAGTCGGGAAATGTATGTGTGTGTGGGGAGTTGGCACTTGGCGATCATCTTGTCCCAGGGCATAAGCAAGATAGCCTGGTTATGGAGTTCTAACAATTCTAACAATGTTAAACAAGTGGATCATTGTCTTATAAAGTATAAGAGAATTTATTTGATTATGCACTCATGATTACTGAATTGGCATTTAAATATTTGTAATCATTGCACTTATGTTGTGTATTTTGAGAACCATTTATTTATGTGTTGTTATTACTCAATCAGATTCCTTCATGTATATAAAATATTTCCTTGTCGTTGTAACAATGTTAGCTATTGATCTGTGCATTCACCCTATTTCTGGAAAACTGGAATCTTTCTCATAATACTCTGTTTCTTTTCTTTTTACACAAAAGGTGCTGGTGGGTGGTCCCCATTGGAATCCAACAGATATCAATGGCTTGAAATTGATCTGGGAGAGAGGACTGAGATTACTGCCGTCGCCACACAAGGGAGATACGGCAGCTCAGACTGGGTAACCAGTTACTCTCTAATGTTCAGCGATACAGGCAGGAATTGGAAACAATATCGTCAAGAGGATAGTATTTGGGTAAGTGTGCAGTGAGTGTGCAATCCCAGGAATGATGCAAGGTATCAGCACACTGAAGAAATGGGTGTACTGTGTCATTGTGTAAATACATCTGGATGACAGAAATGATCGGCACATGCTGAAAGAGAGCTGTTTTGCAGAACTACTGTGTCTCACCCTACTTGCTTACAAACCGAAGTCCCATGTGATGAAATCCTATCCCCCTCTGAATGTGATACAATGAAAAACCTCTCCTGAGTGCTTCACGTGAACAAAGCCTTGATTAGTCCTCAAGATAAACACAGAAAACATTTGCTTTAATGGAGTAATAGGAAGTGGGGTTCTATCTAGATATTGGGTCGAAGTAGGTTTGTAAAATAGCAATGATAATCACAAAACAATTGCAGTATACAAAAATGCTTCCTCCACACCACATCCATTACACTCCCAGACAGCATAGGGCAGAAGGCTGAGGTATATGCTGGACAGGTGTCTGTCCATTGCGGGGTGTACAGACATGTACATACTGTACACTATGGTAAATATAAAGACAGTTAGTTTAACCACAACTCTTTGGAGTGCTGGGGGAAGTTCATATGACATGGTTGAATATGCAAACATCACCCAATCAGCAATGGACATGAAATTTGAATTTGAGCTCTAAACATGTGAGGAAACTGTGCTACTGAGCCACAGTGCCAGCCAGTTTTAGTTACCGTAGCTTTTTTACTCATTCATCCACATCTGAAGATATAGATCTTCTATACTGAAGCATCACGAAAACACACTGAGCAGTGACAATGCTTTACCGGATGAAAGAGAAGAAATAAAGAAGCTTAGGTAGCCTTTGGGTGAAATCACCTGCTTCTTTGCACATAAACTGAGAAATACAGCACAGCTGATGGAGATTCTAGTCAAAAACTTATTGTATATTTCAGCTACAGAATTAGTTTATCGTTTTACATATAAATTTATGAACCTTACCTGATTTGCAATTGAAAAACAGACTTCTCTGCCTGTTTCAACCATCATTTCCTGAAATTCAGAAAAACAGATTTGTCAGACTTCTACTGATAAATGAGAAGCTGTAAAAGTGAGGTCTGATAAATCAAACATTTTAAAAATATGAAGGTTAGTACTGTAGTAGATAAACTAGTATCATAATCTTGTATTTGCAGATTTATTTCTGTATGTGTCGTATTATTTTCAGATCTATCTATCTATCTCTCTATCTATCTATCTATCTATCTATCTATCTATCTATCTATTAATTTATTCATTTAAGCATAGACAGCCATCTTAACAGTCATTTTTACACCAGATTTAAAATACACAAAAACACACATTCAGTGACAGTTTCATACATCTGCAAATGGCTTGTTGCTCCAAACCGTGAACCACAAGGCTGCAGTTCAGTATATGCAGCACACAGTCAGGGTCAAGAGGTTCAGTCACTGTTCAACTAAGCATTAGAACATCTAAGATCTACGCTAAGATCTACTGTATAAGATCTAAGTGATTTTGGACGTGGTGTGATTGATGCTGCTAGACATGGTGAGACCAGCCACCCGCCTGAGATTTTCATGTTTTTTGGGTTTATGGAGTATTTAGGGTTTATGGAAAATTGTGTGATGAACAAAATCATCTAGTTAATAGCATTTCTGTGGCTAAAAACACACTGTTAATGTGAGAAACCAGAGGTGAATGGCCAGAGTAGGCAAAGCTAATGGTCAGACCACAATTGCAAACAACTGTTTCATACAGCAGTGCTGTGCAGAATGACTCCACTAAATTTATAACTCGTCTACCCTTGCAGTGATTCTGCCCCCTATTGGATAGCTGTTCCTAATAAAGTGGCACACACATACTCCTTTACTAATATATACAGACACAGGTCATTTAACAAATTGTGCATAATTATATTTACAAAGTAATAGTAACTTACCACTAGTCTATAAATACCAATCTATTTTAAAGTTTGTTCCCTCACGTATGATATTTCTTTATCACAGATTCTTTAAAAATTCATAATATATGAATTTGTTCAAATTCATATATTATGATAGATTTTTCCCTTAAACATTTCACTTTATTTACACCTTAAGGCTGCTGAGGTAGTTTGTTGCTCATTGGGTCTTTTACAAAGAAACGTGATGCGAAAAACAATTAAGAGCTTTAATGTTAATGGTATTGCTGTAATGTTGTGTGCTAAAGAAAATGTGCGGTGTGATGTGCAGTTGGTGAGCTGCCCTAAGAGATTTACATAGATATTGCCAATTACTGGGTCACATGTTCTATTATATTGAATATTCAGAATTCCCATATTTTCCACATAAGTTTTCCTTAACATCTGTCTCATTTAGTGTTACCCAGGTACATATGAAATCTCCCATTTAAGCTCAGGGTGTGGAGAACTGTTAGCATCAGTAATGGCTTTAGTGAACAGCAATCATCATAATGCTGCAATTGTGCACTCTGTTGCGGGTTTTCGATAACCAGGTACTGTAGTATAAATGTCTGCCATTGCCATTTTGCTATTTGATGCCAGACTGACTTGTGTCAATTTTCCTGTTTTATAGGTGTTCCCTGGAAATACAAATGCTGACAGTGTTGTTCATTACAAATTGTTACAGCCTGTGTTAGCTCGCTTCCTAAGAGTAGTTCCCTTGGATTGGAATCCCAATGGGAGAATAGGCTTGAGGCTGGAATTATACGGATGCACCTATAGTAAGTACAAAAGAGATACATATCTGTCAATAAAATCAGATCTCATTACAGATATTTCATTGACATAAATGTATGCTAAGATTTTATATAGCAGGGCACCATATACAGCAGAGTTTGCAGGGTCACCATGTGTATGTCTTATAATGAACTCAGTTGTCCTCATTTAATCCAACAAAAGTGTTGGTATACCATGGAAAATATTAGTATTTTTAAGTATATTTAAAGTATCTATGTACTTTAAAATCCCTTTCATTGTGTTCCAGAATTTGAGTTTTGAATCATTAATACTTTTTAACTGAATGCTTGCTCTGCTTATGATGGCCCTTTTAAGTAAATGGGAATGTTTGTGAATACAGGGCTCCATGAAAGCATAACTGATGTAAGGATTGTGAAGTTCAGCTGACCTCTCTTTTTCAGAGAAGAACATCTAAAATCCCCTTTTACCTGTAATGTTGTTTTCAGAGTCTGATGTGGCCAGTTTTGATGGCAGCAGCTCATTACTCTACAGGTTCAGTCAGAATTCAAGTGAATTGACCAAATATGTGATCTCCATGAAGTTCAAAACACTGCAGAAATCTGGAGTCATCATACACGGAGAGGGACATCATGAACATAAACTCACACTGGAGTTATTTAAAGGACAGCTCTTTCTTCACATCAGAATCGGTACTAATGGTACATCCTTTTGCATATTTTATACAATGGGATTTCATTATACTACTATACTATTGCTAAAGATGGCAGTTTAAAAAGTTTATTTGAATGGTAAAGTATGCATACAATTCTATTGTTCCTTTGACAGAAAGCCCATCTGTTCTCTGCCTATACATATGTCCCACCTATTAATCTCACCATCTGTTTGAATTTTAATTTTGCTTCTGGTAGAATGCTGTTAAAAGACATCAACATTTGTCTTGCATAGTTTACCTGTGCTGGGGATGGGTGTTTATTGGACTTAGCAAATGCAAAGCAACACTAATTTATTATAAGTTATTTAGTCCAAATATTTTTCAGGGTGTATTCAGATATCCTTTGATAAAGTACTAACTACTGAATAATCTATCTGGCAGCTCAGTTTGTTTGTTTGTTTATTGTTTTCATTTACTCTATATTTAAAATGATATGTTAGAAAGATTGTTTGGCATTTTGTCATAGTGCATTGCACAGTTTTGTTGGGAACACTTACAGTTACAGTCCTATACCTTTGAATGTGTTGCTTAAAAATAATGTATCAACATAAGTTTATTATTTTCTTTAATATTGCATTACACACATCAGCAAGTCTTATAGTTTGGTAAATACTACATGTAATCCAATTTTTACAATCTCCTGTGAATTCTCAACTATATCTTGCTTTGTCAACTGAAGCATAAAGTGACATAGCACATTGAGCTCAATTTTTTTAGCACATGACAAGATTTTCAATACCCAAAATTCACGACCAAGCCATATTTTAAATATAGTTATCTCTACACTGTTTACCTTGAACAGTGTGTTCTGACTTCTTGCAATTTCAATAATAATATGTGTGTGCGTGTGAGTATACAGTACTTTGAATACCAGAATAAGCATGTACTTTATTGTAAACCATTCTTCCATTTGCAGCTAGAATTATACTAATTATAAATGAAAACTGAAATGTAATTATCCTACAAGAATATTACTAATTCTCAGTTCAATATGACACTTTTACCTTATGTAGTTCATTTAAAACATTTAACTAGTATTCTCCCATTGTGAAAGAATTTCTTAGATATTAGAATGGAAATACCCTACTCTCCACAATATGGCAATTCACTAAAGAAGTCCAATCAAAATGTTTTCATTCTGACATCATTGCTTTTTTGATTTGGTTTTACAAAATGTGTAAAATATTACTATTTTTGTTTCAACTCAACTGATCGATTTAATTGTGTGCTTAAAGCCTGTTTTTTCTGCTATTGAAACAAACACCTTTTGGTACCAAGATAAAATCTGAAAGAATATTTTTAGTATAGATATTTAGAATTCTGTCTTTGATTGTATATTTGGCTTTGATCTTAAAGATTAAAATCCCATATGTTTAGAATGAATGTCTTGTTTTAAGACACACATTCGTAAAACCTTCATTCATTCATCCGTTCATTTTTACTGCTTATCCATTGCTCTGGTCTCGATAATACAGAGCCTTTCCCAGCATGCATCTTGGCAGGGCACGCCAGTCCATCACAGGGTGCTAATGCTCAGATACAAATTGACACTACAGGGAATTTGCAGTCCCTACTGCAGATAAACGTGCTTTGGACTATGGGTGGGAAGTCACGCAAATGCAAGAAGAGGTCCACATACGCAGTGAAGAGTATGGAATGAAACCTGGAAATGTGAGGCTGCATAATATCACTGTGCGATAATGCAGTCTCTGCAACCTTCTGCAAAGTTTGAACCATCTGGTATTTATTTATTTTATTTTTTTGGAGAAAACACGCCGTGCCAGATTCCTCCCCCCAGTCTAAATAAATGTGGTTATCTGGCCTACATTGGACTGGCGTGCCATCTAAGGTGTCCCCCTGCCTAGTGCCCTGGACTTCCTGGGATAAGCCTCAGGCACACAGTGACCCTGTGTTGGATAAGAGGTTAGGGAGCCTGGGAAGCTGGAAGGATAGATAGATGGATGTATGGATGAATGCTGTATATATAGTCGGCCATCTTGTTCTATGGTATAATTCATGTTTTCTAACATAAGCTGTGCCCCAAGAAAAGTTGAATCCTGTTTCTGTTCTCTTCCTTTTACAGGCACATCGAGGTTGATCTCCTCAAACAAAAACTCCCATGTGGTAAAGCTAGGGAGCCTCCTGGATGACCAGCACTGGCATTATGTGGTTATCGAGCGCATTAACAGGCACTTTAACTTCACCGTGGACAAAAGCACTCAACAGTTTGAAATCAATGGCGATTTCATTCGCTTTAAAATCAGTGAGGTGTGCTGTCCTTTCATGTGTATGTGGGCCTGAATCAGGGAGACTCTTGCCATTAAGGGATTTTGCAGGCAAAAATAAATTAAATGCCCCACATAAGGGAAAATATTTAAATGTGTCAATCAAAATTTAGCAAAAAAAAAAAACTGTTGCATAAGTGCATTAGCCAAATTATAAAATCACTGCATTAATGAAAAGCTTTTATGTATAGACCTGGAGTTTGGAGAGAAACATCTAGCTAATAAATGGTATTGTAACCATGGTGACACAGTCCATAGGGGTATAATTCCCAGTGTGGCTCCCTTAGTTTGAGGCAACTTCACAAAATATGTCTACTTATTTGAAAGAAAAAAATAAGCTTAAAAAATAAGCATACTAATAGGGCTGGGTGATATAGCAAAATATTTTATCACATTTTTTCATATTAGTCATTATCAATAATTCTCACAATATAACTGAAGTTATTATTTGTTCACAACGACGCTCCATTTTTGCTTAAATTTCCCTTAGGATTCAGCACATGAAAAAGACAAGAAATTGAATGGACTGCGAACTAAAATCTGATCTTAGTGAATAAATCATACGTGTGTGGTGTAGCACTAACAAAAGGCTGGTAGTACAGTTTGTTTCTGGGCTTTTCTTTAACTGCCTAGCTGCTTTTTCCAGTGAGGTGAGTTTGACGTTGCTGATAGAGCCACCACCCCTCCCGTTTTGAACCAGTATGAGATGCAGTTCGTCCCGTATTTCTTCAGATTGACAGAAGACACTGGTGTCTGTGACACTAAGCAAAGTTTACTGTGACAAAATTTCACATGGTTTCTGGATGGCATTGTGCTAGAGGGGGTATGCAGCAAAAGGTTGAATTCATAGTAATTCCAGTTTTAATTGGCACAAGTTTTTGGCAGAGTTTACAATACACAGCACCAGGCTCACATGTAGTAGCTTACCAAAAGAGCAGTATGTGCCGCAATCAGCTTCCTAAATTAACCAGCCATGCTGTGTATTTGTCCATAGGTTGTCCGTTCTTTAACATATATCAACTGCATATTGATTTAAATGAATAGATTAAAGGTGTAATAATTCATATGTTACTAATGCAATTTACTAGTATTTACATATGTGGTATTTTCACAGTGAATATTTATAGTAATATGTCAACTGACAAAGTTTAATGTTCTGTGCCTTTAAGAGCATCAGGGAGTAAGAGCAGAGGTCATTATTATCGTAATTAGATGCAGTTAGTGGAGGATGGAACCACATGGTCTTTTGACCTTTGTCTCTCTCTTATTCTCTGAAAGTACCTCAGAACTTATGGCTACACAGAAATCTTTGTACATATTGGAAGAACTTTTTTTGTATTGTCATATTTAATTTAAGTAAATGGTTTAGGTTTGTCAAGTGGTCTTCTGGGTTTTCTGTGGTGGATTGGACAGGATATAGTCAAGCATTAGACTAAGACTTTATTCAGTGTTGGAACCTACATGTAACATATGATCAGCTGGAATTGTGTTTCTGTGTTGTGTGCTATCAAAAAATGTCCCTTTTTGACAGCTTGCATAGTTTCTCATTTTCTTATTGTTTAAATTTTATGAGAAAATAAAAAGATGTATCACCCAGCCCTAAATACTAAGTCAGTAAAATAATGATCACAATTGATCCTTGTGAATCTAGTGCAATTAAAGAAATCTAGGATGTATATAATACTTTAATAATACTTTAATGGAAGTATTTATTTCAGAATAAATTAATGATAATGTGCATTGTATTAATCTGTGGTTTTCATCGTAACAATTAATTTAACATTGGTGTGATGCCCTTTTAAAAGCTCAGCTTTGGTGGTGCCTTGAGTCATGAGAAGTCCGGAACACTTTCAAAAAGGAATTTCCTTGGGTGTCTGGAGAACCTGTTCTACAATGAAATCAATCTCATTGACCAGGCAAAAAAGAAACAGCAGATTGCATCCATGGTATGTTGTGGTTTCATATTCCTAAACATGACATTAATTTATTAAATTGCTTTGCTATTTTTTTCTACGCTTTGTTTGATGGTTAGTGTTATTTGTTTATAATACTTAGTAGCCTATTACTTAGAATTTGGGTGGCGGGAGTTAATCCATCATAAAAATGCATTTTTTTTGGTGTAGCTTTCATTCTATTCTGCTTTCTTTCTGCTATAGTTAGTTGTAATTTTGTATTTTTATTTTAAAAGAAGTAGCTATTTTTAAAGTAGTAAAATAAAAAAAAACAAATATATCAAATGTTTAGTCATCATTTAAAATTGTTTAGTTTAGAAAACACATTACACCTAAATACTACTAAACATTTTTAATATATTTTTACACTGGAACTCCAGTTGAAAAAAGGCCATAGAAAACTTACGTTTTTAAAGGATGAACATACTCACCAGTGGGGTGTGATGGTGTGGGGAGACGATGAGTGACGGACATGTTTCTCTAGAGTAACTGCCAAGCAGAGTCAGCAGAGTTGACAGGGTTGCTGTGAAATTGTCTGTGTTTGTTTGGCTTTATGACTATTTCATTTGCAATTCTTCATCAATACATTTTTTGCTTGTTAGACACAAAATATTTGGTCCTTCTGATCTTCTCATTCATCATATTTCATGGTTAAGGTATTTCAGTTGAGATTTATTCTTGATTTTGTATAATGGGGCTAGTAATATTAGCATGTGGTGTGCTTCGCATATCAACTGTATATTGTCAGTTCCATTTTTCTTGCAATATAATTTCTGCAATCCTAGATTACCATTTACTACTTAATTTACTAGTAGGTAAGGTTTAAAATTGTAACATATATCATAACTGTTTTTACAGGTGCATGTTTCCTGGCAGCATGACATAGCATACAAGAGTTTATTTTAGTTTGCCAGTTCAGTTTACAATATAATCAATGTGTTTAACGCACATTGTGGTAAAGGGGTGTTAATGGTTCAGTATATGTGCTCCAAATGTGAGCATTCCGCTCATATTACCGTAAAAAAATCAATGACAGATAATTACAGCGGAGTCAATTCCCAATGGCTTGTGGATCAAAAACCCCTAAAATTACTCCTCTGGGATCAATACTTTTTTGCTCTTAACATATAATTCACCCTGAATAAAGGTTACACAGTTATCAACAAATGGACATAGTCATTATTTAAATTTTTATGTGATTTCATGCTAACAGTATTATATATAAATGAAGTCCAACCATGGGGATCTCATTCATACAAGGATGATTAATGTCAGTATTACAATATTAATTTCCAGCTTAAGGATGTTTTCAGCTGGTGAGAACATTTAAGCCCACTGCCACGTTCACGGGATGTCAAGTCAAATTGTACTCTTAATTCACCTGTTCAATGAAAGTAATTAATATGTATGTTTTCAGGGCAATGTAACCTTTGCTTGCTCTGAGCCAGCCAATGTTCCTGTGACCTTTGTGGATACGGAGAGTTACCTCCAGTTGCCCGGAGCTTCCCAGAGAGACAGTATGTCAGTCAGCCTGCAGTTCCGAACATGGAACAAAGCAGGACTCCTGCTGACCACTGAATTATACCGAGAAGCTGGACGCTTGTGGATTTACCTCTACGAGGGGAAAGTCTACCTGCAGATATCTAAGTCAGGAAGGATTCAGGTGGATATTACAACAGGTAACAACGGCCCAACGATGCAAGAGAATTAATATTGCATTGACTCACTTTAGTTAATTTAAAAAGATTCTGCAATGTGGTTTCCATTAGATGAAGAATAAGTATTGGTTCTTATTGTATATTGATCACACACTAACACAAACGTCTGAGAGCAAAGATAATGCCCCTATTAAAGAGCATGATGGTAAGCTGGCAGAATGACAGGACCCCAAAACATATATGCCTCTTAACCATGTACACAGTGAATTATGTTTTGATGAGATATTGAATTTCTTGTTGCAACAGTTTTGATTTTGCATATCTGTGGGTACAGCACAAGTTAAAAGGTCAGAACTGTCTTGTTCACAGGGTCTGCATTAAATGATGGGATGTGGCATTCTGTGGACTTGAACGCAAGGAGAGGCCGATTAACACTCATGGTGGATAAGGAGGCCGGGTCTGCAGCCCACGCCAATGCCTTCTTTCATGCTGATGCTGGAACACACTATTTTTTCGGTGGTATGAAGACACTCTTCTTTTTATCATGTTTGCATTACCATGGCCTAAACGAGTACTTCTACATACTACTATCACTGATGTCTTTGCGCACGTGTAATTTTAGCTCATTTTGGTTGTTTAAGTTTAAGAACATCTTGTATTTTTCACCATCCTTTTCACGTTAGTGAAATTTAATGGCTGTGGAAAGGTCAATTGTAATGTGTACAAGTGGTAAATTACCTCATTGCTATTCTGCGAGGATGCGATACCACTCTATTACTGATAGCACGGTGCCCTTCTCAGCATTTAAGGTGCATTCCATTAGATGCTTGCGCGTAAATAATTGTGGCAATTACTTGAAATGCAGAGAAGATAGCTTGCTTTGCCTTAATTCCGAGAACATTTAACTGTATCAGATTGTGGTGCAGTATATGCATTACACTGACCTTGAGCAGGGAGCAACTACAGGTTCAGGGTAGGTACAGAAACCAAGCAACTGTTTAAAAATGTGAACTTTTATTTTATCTAAAAATCACCAAATGTAACTTTTGAGACAATTCAGGAATTATGATGTTTGCAAAATATTTGCAAAATAGTAAGCTGCACTACCATTGTGCTGCTAATAAAATCAGGTTAATATACATAAATATAACGTTCCTATTATGTACTACATGAATTCAATCAGTTGTGGTTATAAGTTACAACATAACCCACAATGTAATGTTTCTTTCTTTTTGTCTTTCATTGCTCACATTGTATAGTATTTCTTTTAAGGTGCACTAGAATGGGCATATTACATTCAGGATTGTGATGGTAAAAATATTTGTTCAGCAACCATACTAAAATGTATCTGATGTCTGCTTTATCTGGTAGGTATACTTTTGAGTAATCATGTAGTCAGTTCACATAATATCCAGTTAAAAAGACATTCACTAATTCTATGTGCCCTCTGGGCACCCAAGATCTACCAAGAGCTTGTGCAGAAGCTGAACCTTCAGCAGAAACAGTTCTGTCATGCGCTACAGCTGACACTAAACATGTTCAAAATCCATAGATGTGACTGTTATATAGAAGGTTTTTTTATGGTTGGAGGGTGGGACATGTACAGTAACAAAGGAAATAACCTGTCTTTAACTGACCTTAACTTAAAATTCCCCCTAGTTTTTCAGGGACTGTGGTGTCCTTCACTCTTACCATCCTACTAGTTGATCAAGAAGTATCTGTAGAATATAATTAATCTGAAAATCTCTTTCAAAGTAAAAACGAAAAACTGTTCATGTGTTCCCTGGTGAAAAAAGGATAGCCTGAGACTATGTGGGAGGATATGGCACTATGATTAATAAGTGGATTAAAAATACTTTAAAGTACCACTTGATCAAAGCAAGGTTCATTAGTCAGGTCAGAACATCCTCAGTAAACTTGTCTGATTTAGACAGTTTTTACACCTAGATGATATTGATATTTATTTGCAGTATATTTTTATGCTGAATTAGTGCCTATTTAAAAATAAATAATTAAGTAAATTAATAAATAAACACAGCCAGAGTACCACATGGATATGTAAATAATTGGTTGTAACGACCCGAGCCTCGGACAAGCGGCAGATGATGGATGGATGGATGGATGGTTGTAACGATTATGTCCACTTTTATGATGTTCGTTTGCACAAGCCTCATTGAAGATTCTGATTTTTATTTTTTAACAGACTTAATTTTAATGAGCAGATTCAAGACATATTTATGGTTTGCTTGTCATTTTGTTTCCAGGGTGCCCCAACAGAGAAAATTCTCCGGAATGTAAAAATCCATTCCATGTTTTTCAAGGATGTATGAGACTGATATATATTGATGGTAACGCTATAGACTTAATAAAAGTGCAGCAATCACTCATCGGTAATTACAGTGATTTACAAATGGATCTCTGCGGTATTATTGATAGGTGAGTAGTGAATATTTCATTTTATTGCTATTATTTCATGACTTAAGTGAAATACTTTTTGTTTGTTTGTTTGCTAACATGTTCTAGATTTGCAGAAACATTGCTGCTTCTTTCAAATTAATTCTGTTACATTGTTTACTAAACAATGAATTGTTTTCCAATTTGATAATTGACAGAACCTTAAATTGTTTAATTTTGTTTTTGTGTGACTTTGTGCATCAAGAATTACCCGAACTTAATATGCGCATCTATATTGTTCTCTGATGGTTATTATTTTGAGAAGACATTAAAAACATTTTGTTTGTCTTAGTCAATTATCCATCCATCCATCCATCCATCCATCTATTTCCTGTAACCGCTTGTCCAATTCCTTGTCATGGGGGGTCCAGAACCTATCCCTGAGGTTATGGGTGCAAGGCAGGGAACAACCCAGGATGGGGTGCCAACCCATTGCAGCTTGGTGAATTAATTCAACTAAATTAGCTTAGTTATAATTGTTATGATACCTTTGAAAATAAATTTCTTTTGTTTTAAGAGCTGCTGATAATTATTACAGTAAAGTCTTGGATTGCGAGTAACTTGGTCTGCGAGTGTTTTGCAAGACGAGGACAATTTTTTTATAAATTTTAACTTGATAAATGAGCAAGGTCTTGCAATACGAGTATTATGTATACGCTTTGCCTGCCGAGCGTCACGTAATCACAACTGAGCCGATGGTTCTCTCTCTCTCTCTCGCTGCGGGATTGTGGGTAATTGTATCCCATGCTCGGTCTCAGTCAGCGTGCCTGACTCATATAGTCAAAATTTTGTAGAAAAGCAGCATCCAAATAAGGGCGTAGCAGTGCGAGCGATGAATCTGTTTAACAACAATGCAATGTCACATTTCCGCGAAATCGAAAAGGAGCTGTCATTGGATAGGTTCCTTGTTAAAGTCACACAAAAAGAAAAAGATTCCAGTGAGCCAACAGATAGCAGTGATTCCGTTAGTTATAGTGAAAGTCATCCTACAAAATAACCCTCCTCTTCTCCTCTCTCTCGTCTCCCTCACACCATCCACAATTCTTTTCAAAGGTAAAGTACAGGTTAATTTGTTTTATGTATTTTTATTTTATATTTTGTATCAATCATTTTTATATCAATATTTTTGGGTTATGGAACTAATCTGAGTTTCCATTATTTCTTATGGGAAAATTTGCTTTGATATACGAGTGCTTTGGATTACAAGCATGTTTCCAGAACAAAGTATGCTCGCAATCCGAGGAACCACTGTAATTAGATAATTGCATAGTTATAACATAACGTAGCATGGATTCATTCCAAATGACCCAGTAATTATAGGTTAATTACTTGATTTAATATACTTTTTGCTGTCACTTTATAAAGTTGTTTAATTATGAGATTGTTAAAGAAATTGCTGCTGGGTCAGCTGTAATAGTTTAGCTATGTTTCACAGTAATGAAACTCCACCTATATATAAAATGAATAAGCATATGTCAAAGTATGATGCACCTGTCAAAGCAATATGTGTCCTACAGTAGGGATCTAAGCTTAATGACTCTGAAAATGTGCTGTTATTGCAAGCCCCCATGTCACAATTGCATAAGGCCCAGGGAATAAAACTGGCTTATGCTCCATCAGGTGGGTTCAGATGGCTGCTTCTGTCTGCCTTGGATTGTTCTTGAGGCAGTTACTGTTGGCTGAGGGCTATAAGTGAATAGCGCAATGCCTCAAGTACGTTACAATACTTGATGAAGAAGTATATTGATATAGATGCGCAGAAGCGTGTGGCTGATCTTGGCTCCCGTCAGGGTGGCCTGGTTGGCGCGGCCGGATGGAAAGTGTGCAGGAAATGGGATAATTGCTATTTGCGGTTTAGAGAAAGTGGGTTAAGAAAATGGGTGGCTCAGTAGGGCACTGTAGGTTGGGGGTATGGGGGTCCTGGCTCAGCGTCCACGCACTCTGCACAGTTCCATTACGTACTACAGTTTCCTCCCATAGCCAATAAATACTGTTAAGTAAAATGGTATCTCTAAATTGTGTGTATTCCTTGAAATGGATTGGCATCCTGCATAGTGTCCCATGTCTCAAGAACTCTATACTGTATGCATTTTATTTCATGCTATGACAGTGACAGTCATTTAAACAGTCTACCCAGTAATTAAAATATTCTAAATACAATAGAAACAGACCCTGCGATGGGTTGGCGCCCCTTCTTGGGTTGTTTCCTGCCTTGTGTCTTTAGCCTCCGGGATAGGCTCCAGACCCCACGTGACCCTGAACAGGACAAATGGTTACAGAAACTGGATGGATGGATGGACGGACGGACAGACAGATGGATGGAAAAGTGAATTCCTCCACAGGAAAGGTTGAACACAATGCGATGGTGGCAAGCTGTTAGTGATGGCTGTAGGAGTTGCCCGGGAAATGTACTGTACACTGTCTAGTTCCTCTGAAGCATTTAAAAGGGCATTACATTAAACCAAGTTAAACATGTGAATTAGGAGCAAATTCCTGGGTAATGAGAGTTATTACACTTGAAGTCAAAAAACATTGCAGTTTAGGGAATGTTTCAAATCATAGATGAAGCATTTGGATATGAAAAAGGAAAGACGGGAGAATCTTGGGGCATTCGAGGCTGTGTGAGATTCAGGCTTCAAAATTTAGCAAGTCATTCCTCCAGTAACTGAGTATTTCTTAAAAGCTTCCTCTCTGGCCACCCCCCCACCCCCTTACATTTTACCTTATTTCTTTTAGAAGTGCCAGAAAGCCAAGCTCCTTCTTAGCAAAGCATTTTCTAAGGATTAAAAGGGGATTATAAGGGACCTCTTAAATATTCAGATGCATGGCATTTTATGACTTTAATTTAGGAATAGCACTTTATAATCTGTCTGGTTTGTTATTGGTGGTCAGTGGAGCGATTATTAAAGCGTGCCTTTACCAGCTGCATTGTGAATACACTAGAGATGATTTTTTTGGTAGTTCTGCATTCTAATAATTACACATGACAATAGTCTATTTTTAATTTCTCCCTTTGCTGATGTAGCACACAGCGCAATGCATAATCTTCAGTTTGATTTTAGATTAATATTAATAAACACCTCAGTTTTGGGCTAAGCTGGTTTCCTGTGAATCTGGATGCACTCTATTCTTAAAATCTGAATGACTTTGACTATCTGCATTATGTGATGTAGGACACATTGGTACAGGAGAAACCACACTTTCCTTGTTTTACATTCTGTATTTTATATCTAATATATTATATAAATATATATTGTATCTGTACATTACATATCATAATAATGTGGGCAATGATGTGAAATGTAGAAACAATGAGAGAAGAAATAAATAATAGGTGTTACTGTTCAGCAAGAATAAGCAGTGTGCTTTTGTATGCTCCTCATGACTTGCAGTGAATGCAGTGAAATTTTGGTTTTTAATACAGTACTTTCAGAATAGCAACAATAGTAATAGTTACTGAAATATGATATCACTTTGCAATACATGTACACGTAATACCAGCTTCAGTACAGAGGAAATTATGATATTCCAGGGAGGTGTGATTAAAAGAAGTAGTAATTGACTTAATAATGTCCTAATCATAGGTTGATTTAAGTAAAATGACCTATACTAAATGCAAATGACTATAAACATGAATTATTGATTTATATTTTATAATTGTTTATATGCTGAATTCATGCTGCATATAATCTTCATATGATTTGTGTTACAGTAATGAGCCTATAGTGAAGACAACCGAGAAGTAAAACATGGCTTAAAAGCAGCCATTCTCATACTCCATTACCCAGGACACACATTATTGCAGCTGGGTACATTAGCAGGCAACAAACTTAATTTTATAAAGAAAATGTACAAAGTTTGAAGCAAATTTGCTCTGCATCAACCACTAGCACAGTGATTTAAACAGATATTTACAAGAATGCAGACTTAATTTAGGATATATTTCACCTCTTGCCCTCAATTCAATGTTATCTGGCATTCATTATGCACTGTATTTGTTGATTAGCACTATTTCAGTATAGATAAATGGCATCAATTTCATGAGCGTGCTTGCTGGCTGAGATGGTCAATGTAACAGAAAGAAACTCCTATAGAGACATGACAATTCATAGGCCTCCAATTTATGATAAGTTCACATTACACGTGAACAGGAAACAGAATCAGGAACTTGGCAACCAGTCTTCTACAAATCGACATAAGATAGTTCTGGTGTATTTGTCACAGATTTCCAGTAGTAAATGAGATTCCCTTGTCACTGCTGTTGCTGCTTCAATGTGGCATTGAGGCCTCACTACCAGCCAGTAGAGGGTTCAAATCCAGCCTCTGCCTTGGCATGTGGTTTTACATGTTAGTCCTTTGTTTGAGAGGGTGTCCAAAAACATGGGTCAACAAACTGGTGTCTAAAAATTGCAGACCATATACCCAGTGGACTAGCATCATGTCCTTTGTGTATAACTAGAATATGTTCTGGAAGTGTGGAGCTCACTCTTGCACTGCATTTTATATGCTTACGTTTTTAAATCCTAAGTTGATTGAGTCTCAGCAGAAGTCCACATTTAAGGTTAAGCTGGCGCACATCAATCCTCCATGTAGCCTTTACTGTAGGTCAAGCTACTCGACATATTCAGACATCAGAGAAAACAAGAGCTTTCACTGCGGCAGCATGAGACATCGAGGCGTCAAACCGAGAAATATATCGTTTGCTAGTTCAAATGTCCTTATTCTTTTTTTCATTTATTTTATTCCTCATATGGATCTCTTCTACCTATCCCTTATCGGTACAAGGTGACAGTGAACCTATCTCAGGCAGCACAGAGCATAGGGCACAGGAGAGCATACATAAACACACAGTCTGGGCTATGTAAAAATGCCAATTTGCCTAACCACATGTTTTTGATGTGGAAGGAATGCAGAGTAACCAGAGGAAACCTTCAATCATGAAGCGAGAACATGAATGCACACTGAACTGGGGGTGGGAGCTGAATCACCAGGCCAGGAGGTGTGAGGTGTACAGAACGTGCAGTAGACACCTCATTTTTTTCCCACTGTCCAGCCCTGATTTCAATTTCAAATTTGCTTTATTTCATATTTATTTCCAACAGGAAAATATGTCACGAACATAGAAAAGTATAGTGCTGTTTTGTGTGAGCAAATCTTCTGCATCAAAACACAGAAACAATGTCAAAAGACAACTCTTGTCACAATACTATTGTGTTTGATCAAGCGTTTGTCATTTAAGTGTCATTTATTTTTTAGTAAAAACCTTAGATTGGCTGGTTCCTTTTATTTTTTGGAGGAGTATATATCTTAAATGATTAAATACTCTATCCAAAATTGGAAGTCGTAATATAAAGAAGAAGGAAAAAGTTGAAAGCATAGGTGGAGTTTTAAGACCGTCACTGATGCTACAGTAATGAAAGAATCTGCGATTCACGTCTAATATCTATTTTTTTATATTGCTATCTCAAAGCAATCAATTTAATGTGGAAGAAGGCTTTGATGAATTTCCTTCTCACAGACACAGCAGTTTTTAAGGATGATGCCAGGATGAGAGGCAAAAATTGTCAGCAAAGTATGTCACTTCTTAGCCTCAAGTCCATTTCAGATATCTGATCATTACCTAAGTACAGTAGCAGCGCGGAGTAAACTGTCGCAAGGTTGATGGGGAGAGTAAAGTTACCTTCATTTTGCATTTTAACCATTACTACCATGAATGATTTCAGGCAACTGTGGACTTAAAATTAATAATTCAGATTTATTTTCAAATATGTTATTTATCCCCACAGGCTATTACACGCTTAGGAATCAGAATAATGCTGAGCCACTATTCAATATACTGTATGCTAAACAATTTATAAGATAGCAAATCAATGATACTTGGCACACAGATGTATCGTATAATATCTAATATACTGTAGTTTGAACTATAACAGCTAGTAACCAAAGGCTATAATGATATGTCAGCACTCAGCTGGACTCAAAAAAAGACAAGGAGAGCCAGACTGGTGCCTGGAAATATTTCAAAGAATTCTGCCGATGAACTGTGATCACTGGTATCTTTACGTGTTAAACGCTCTGTTAGTAAGTTTATGATGGAAGCCTGGCTCAGCAATATAACCAATTCATGCATGCCTCACGACCATTCCATCCATCTCCCCTAACCACTTACCCAGTTCAGGGTCACCCTGGGTGGTAGGACCCTTCATAGCAGGGAACACACTCAAACATACAATTGCACACTATAGCCAATTTAGTAACACTAATTCACCACAAGTTTTCTCACTGCAGGGGGAATCCCATGCAGGTGGGGGGGGGAATGTAAATTTCACACACGTACATGGAGCTAAGGGCGAGATTAGGACCCCATTCTTGGAGCTGTGAGGGCAAATGCTGTTTACAGCATTGCCTGTTTTTCATTTATTTGTATATATTTGTTATGGAATTCAAGATAAACTAGGAAATAGATTTTTCCAATGCACTTCAGTTATTTTTCCAGCTCAGCAATACACCAACATATTTTTTAATCTTGACATAGCAATCTCATTCCCATCATTTTATTTATTTTTGATACATGTTTTATTTACTTGTCACATCATACTTTAAATTCTGTGAGAGTGGTAAAAACAATCTTTTTGATTCTCAAAGTTTTAAAGAAAGTATAAGTCTATGTATTGTTAAAAAATATTCAAATTCAAGTTTTAATCAGTGACATTTCCATCAGCTCCGTAAATGAGTGCTTTTAGTGAAAGTGTTCAGGTAATGTATTCCACTTTTTTTCCCACCTGCTTTAATATGTTGGCTGGGTCAGAGTGGTGTCCAGACTCCTGAATACCTGCTTTAAATGACACAAAGCCCATGACCCTCTACTACCAAAAAAGGCCCGTAACTACTCAACGCTATTTCAGCGGCCTGCTGCAGCCGCCTCTCTGTTGTTGACACTGCCGCCATGACAAAGCTATATTCGTTACATCTCTCTGATTAGGGTCACGCGTCCCAGTCCTTTTCTGGTAAAGCAGGATGAATAGAAGTGCACCTCTGACACCTTCCTGTCATCCTGCCTTAAGCCCTGGAGATGTAGCCTGTCTCACAGCTCTCACCTTTTTATTCCCTGCAACTGAAGGAAATAACATACTTTTTTTTCCATCTAACAATGCCGTGGCTCTTTATTGTGTATCTCTTTGATGTTCTTTCCAAGTGCCTGCACACATGCTCTTCTCTTACTGAGGGGGGAAAAAACAAATCTTCAAATACTATAATGAGAGTTGCTGTCAACCTGTATCGTCGCAATTTCATTTCATTTCTTTCAGATCAGTTAAACAGCAATGCCTGACCTAAATTTATCCTCTATGGTGTCAGTCAATCAAAGCCAAAATTCTTATTTTTGGTTTATTATAACTTGGTTAGGCTACCTATCATTTTACTTATTCAAACAAATGTTCACTTTTCTTTAAAGAAGCGGTGTAACTTCTACATGCTGAGTCATTTGACGACCAAGGCTCACTAATAATCACGCTGTCAATGTCACAGAGCGGTTGGGTGGCTCTCTAGTAATGCACTGCTTGGTAAGAGAATATAGTGTTTTGATGTACAGCTTATATAATGCTCATGTTTACCTTTTCTGCTACATGGAAATTAGGAGAGAGAATAGAAGTGATGAAATTCCTCTCTTGATGAAAACTGGACGGTACAAGCTCAGTTAATGAGAGTAGAATCACTACTTTAGAAGCCACCTTAAATCTGCATCTGAATGAGCAGAACAGTGCAATCATTTGTTAGCATTCATTTGATGGTAATTTATTCTGTAGCATATCAAGCACAGTGCTTGTCAATGTCATAAGAGTTTTTCGTAAACAGGGCGTGTTTGTAGTATTTGGCCCTTTGATGCAGTTGCAGTATATTTAAAAAAATTAATCCCTCCTGACTTCCTGCCAGTGTGCATTCTCTTGTGAACATAACTACACTGCAAGCCTATATGCAGGGATTTTTTTCCACCTATGTAAATATTATAAATATGCATAATTAGGCCTAATAAATATCAAGGTACCTGTCACATAATTTTGGTTTTCGTCCCTATGGTGTGTGAGTGTGACTAAGTTGTGAATAGTGTCTATAGATCTCACATTCCTTCTGTATAAAATGGTAGCAGTATGTGCTTTGAATTGTGAATGTTTTCTTGTTCATTTCAGGTGTTCACCTAGTCACTGTGAGCATGGAGGAAGATGCACGCAGTCCTGGAATACATTCTACTGCAATTGCACTGGTACAGGATATATGGGAGCAACATGCCACAGCTGTAAGTGGCCGTTTCACATGTTGCGATCAGATTCCTCAAACCGCCCGAATGGTAGCTTTTCATTAATATGAAGGACAGTGGAAGTTGCTCACGAAATAAGTCATGCATGTTAGTACAGTATCTCGGTTTTGCTCACTAATGGCTATAGTTAGTAACAAAAAAATCAGCTTAGCTTGGTTTTTTGGTATCATTTCATAAAACATTATGTAAATCTGTAATGTATTCAGCTTTTCACAGGTGTTTTGATAATGCATTTAAATTTGTGAGGGTTGGGTAATTAGTGAGTTATCTTCTTTTTATGCTAATTATATTTCTGAAGTCTATAGTAAAGTCTGTTACAGCTCCCACCCCTCTCCTTGCGTGTGAGTTTACATGCAGAGTTCTCCCCAACTAGACTGCTGTTCCTCCCCCAGTCCAAAGACATACAGTTAAGCTAACTGGGGTCTCTGAATTCCACGTAGTGTTTAGATATGTGTCCATGCCCCAGGCTCCAGGTGACCCAGAGCAGTATAAGCATGCAGCAGCTGAATGGATAGATATCATAACCAATGCATTGACCTGTTATAGTATAACTATAGCATTTATAACCCAAAATAGATAACAGGAGTGTTTAATAGCAGTATTGTACTACAGTAAAATAATTAATCTATTATTGTACAAACCAGACAGACATTGCACAGGTAATCTAACCTACCTTTATATTAATTTTGAAGCCTCAATTGGATAAAATGCTTAAAATACAATTATACTGCATGTGCAATGATGTTTCATGCTTTATTGTAAATGTAAATTCTACTTTACATTTATGGCATTAAATAGCATCCAACATAGGGGCTATTAATCATTTCTTTCTAAAATATCTACTGTTACTCTCACGGGATTTCCGCTTTCTGTGGTGCACATGATGAGCTTAATGGAGACTTGAATTTTTAATAAATAATAATAATAATAATACTGTTACTCTCACGGGATTTCCGCTTTCTGTGGTGCACATGATGAGCTTAATGGAGACTTGAATTTTTAATAAATAATAATAATAAAAATAATAAACAATTGTTTTGGTGTTTTTCTGATATTTGGTGAAGTTTTGATAGTACAGTCTATCTGAATGCAGACCACTGCTCCCCTTCCCCAAAGGGTGGGTGATTTCTGAATGCTGATTTTGTTATTGTTTCTCCTGCAGCTATTTATGAACAGTCATGTGAAGTCTACAAGCACAGAGGCAACACGTCTGGATTTTATTTTATAGATGTAGATGGAAGTGGTCCCCTCAGTCCACAGATAGTCTACTGTAATATGACAGGTATGCTCCAAATGATTCCATACTGTAGTATATCTATCTATCTATCTATCTATCTATCTATCTATCTATCTATCTATCTATCTAGCTCGCTAGCTAGCTAGCTAGCTGTCTGTCTGTAATCAGAAATCAAACTGGCTTATAATATGATTATTATAATCATGGAAATTAAATTGTGAACAATTATAAATGATGTATTTTTATTTACCTTTTTCTGAACTAACTCATAATGGTTCCGACAAAGATAACCATCTACTACTTCTTTCCATTTCTTCACACATCTTCGGCATCGTGAAAGGTGCTATTCAGGGTGCCCAGGGTTCGAGGTTGGGGCAGGAGAAAACGATAGAGATAATGTCTTACTTTCTGTCACAATGTTGTTCCTGACACGTCTTCCTTGCCCCTCTATGATAGTGGCCATTTCTCTGATGGCAAGCGACTCCCACACGCCCAGGCAAGTCCAGTCCAGGAGCAATTAGGCCTGAGAGGTTATTGGCTATTGTAATGATTTATATTTCATTTTATCAGGAGAAAAAAAAATTCTCTCTCTCTTCAGTCACAGAACTGTATAGTGTCAGTAGTTGGGCTAACAAGCCTATGCTGAAGTGTGACTTCCGAGAAGTAATAGATTAGTTGAGCTTTGGTGGCAGCCTGCTGCAATACTAAGTTCCCGATATATATTTTACAAATAGTTACATTTAATTAAATAGTTTGATTTTGTGTGTAAATGCATGTGTGTGTATAGCAAACAGAATCACAGATAATCACACTCAATATAAAGCCATAATTTTCTTTTCTTCCTATTATTCTGTCATATGGGTTAGGATGTGAACATCCTGCATTACATACTGAATTTAGGCACATGCAAAATTATATATGCGCTGGGGTGAGTCAGCTGGGAGACCCCCCTAATACAACAATTAATTTGTGTAAATAAAACTACTGAAGCTTAGTAAATATCTTTAGATGTTTTTCAAGGTTTCCAGTTGGCAACCAACAAACATTTTAGATCTCCACCCCAGAGCTATGTTAAAATGTATTTTCACTGCAAAATGTTTTTCAGTTCGCAAAATAATAAAATTAAGGCTTTTATGGACTGTTTATTAGAGGCCAAGCCAGATGCCACTGGGATGTATCAGTTGATTTCTGAGCCAAACGTTTTTTTATTCCTTGGAGGAGCCATCTTGTTCCTATTTGTTTAGATAAGGAAAAGCTCATAATTCCGCAAATTCAGTCGATCCATTGATTTTTACTGAACTCAGTATTTACTTTTCAACTAGCCAGTGTTTGGCCTGTAAAAAAGACAAGTCAAGAGATTAATGATTGAGCCAGGTGGAGTCCAATGTGATTGATGCATAATAATAATACACTAAGAACACGGTATGCTAATAAAAATGATAATAAGTTGGTTTCATTTGTGCACCACATTTCCTTTTTTAATCCCGGTGTGCCTTACAGTTTTATAAGGATGGCTTCACCCATAAGCACCTATTTGCTAAACCTGAATGGACAAGTCTGCAAGAATTAATAAAAGACTCTAGATCAGTGTTTCTCAACCCAGTCCTTGGCGAACCCCAGCCAGTCCACGTTTTTGCTCCCTCCCAGCTCAGAGGAAGCAAAAACATGGACTGGCTGGGGTTCGCTGAGGACTGGGTTGAGAAACACTGCTCTAGATTATGTGAATTTCTGTAATACAGCTAATAAAAACAGGAACGGAATGTGGGACTTCTTGCTTTTTTGTTGATCAATATTGAAAGCTAAAAGTGTGTGCACAAGGTTTGAAGAGTCAGTGTATTTGTAAAGCTTTGAGATTTGCACCAGCTGACATTTACTAATGACAGTTGTTGCCATGCATCAGATCGAACGAGCTGATTAAGGTCTGAAACCTTGTAAAAAGACTTTGGAACTCTTAGGGGTGCCCAAGCTTTTGCAGAGTGCCATAATAATGTTTTTATTTTTTATCTTTGTTCAAGTTATGACATAAAAAGTAACTACAGTATGCATCAATGTTTGGTGTAAATATTGTGCATTTTTTCCATTTCCTACTGAGACTGCGTGTACATCTTTTCCATTAAAAAATGACTAAAATATGTTATTTATCGAGGGGTGCCCAAACTTTTGCGTACTACTGTATCACCTCCACCGTAGGCTAATTCATGTTTATGTTACTCAGAAAGATCAAAAAACACATACAATAACCAGCCGACTACAGGAAATATAAAACCGACAACATCAGGACTGATTATTCAGAATTATTGAAAAGTATTTTGTTATGAAGGAATAAAAACCAAATATTTGTTTGTTTATTTATGTATAGTTTTTAAAACTATGTTTTACAGTTTGTTTTCTTTTACATAATGTATCACTATTGTGGGCAGCACAGATTAACACTGAGCTTTTTTGAGATTTGTTTGTTTTGTTTTGTATTTGGATACCCAGATGGAGGATTGATCCCATGTCCTGTGGTCAAGTGCAGTGCAGTATCATTTACATAACTTGCTGATTTATTTTTTATGCTGTAATATTAGATGCCATAGTACAGAACAGAAATTAAGGTGTATGCATTTGTGATAAATAGATCAATAACATATTATCATCCAGCTTAATTTATGATCTTTTTTGACTGATTATATTTACAAATGATATCACTATCAATAAACAATAAACCAAAACAAATAAATAAAAAACTAGATCATATTTAGTTTATATATTTATCTATATTTACTGAGTAAAGGGTATTAATATGAAGTTGGTCTGATCTTTGCTGCTGTAATAGCCTCTATTCTTCTGGGAAGGCTTCCCATTAGATGACACATAGCTGATAGCATTTGCTGCCATTCAGGTTGGGTATTGATGTTGGGAGATTAGATTCCCAACTGAACTTGCTCCCAGAAATTTCCACTTCACTTTCAGTTCACTTGTCGTTGACCAGGCCAGCTCAATCAGGGTACAAATATGGCAAACTGAAATATAGCATCCTGTTATGGTGCCAAGTTACTAACCTCCCCTGTATAACCACCCATTCTGATGCCAGTGTTTGTTTCTGGAGTGTACATGTTTGTTTGCTTCATTATACACATGTGTCAGCAAAGGGTGTGGCTGAATTAGCCAATGTACTTTTTGATATATTGTTTACCTGTCTCTTTTAAAACATCTGCATAATGCCATGATTTTTAAGTAAAGGTTCAACCAGGAAAAAAGTCAGCGATAAATTATTGACTATCATAGATAAGGAAAAGGACACAAAAATGTCTGAAGTCTCTGAACATTTTTCTGAGACTACAGAGTCAACAAGAAATGTAAAGTGTATCATATGAAGCAGAAAATGCTGTCATCATGGCTCCCTGCAAACTGGGGTTTCAGGCAAGCAGGGAGATGCTGAGCGATGCCACTGTGAGCCCAATGACAAATTCAGGGGGGCAAAACAATCCAAGACTTAGGATACGAGAAAATGTTCATCTGGTATTTACATCATAGAAATTTCTGATCCAGAAGGTGTGAAAATATGTGGAAATAATTTAAAACTGATGCTGTGAGTGATTCCTAGCCAACTGTAGAAGGGAAATCTGTAGAGAATTATATGTGAAAAGAAACTCACCTAGCTGATATGCTAAAATGGCAGAGATTTATTCAAAGTGCTGAGGTTGTATTTCCTGCAAGTGGTTATTTCATAGAATGTAGATATAAGATTTTTTGTTGTTGCTGTTCATATCTTGGTTGTTTCTGATGTAGCACATTATATGAAACCATTCTTGCCTTTCACTACAATTCCCCATACATAAGTGAATGTGTTATTATTATCCATAATATTCACTATGCTATCTGTATATTGCATGTTATACTGCAACAATTATAGTATACTTTGTAAACTTTTTTCCAGATAAGATGTGGATGGTGGTACAACACAATAACACTGAGCTGACCAAATTAAAATATTCCGGAGGGATAAATCAGCACTTAACCTACTTTAACTATTCTGCCAACATGGACCAACTTCGAGCTATAATTAACCAAGCTGAGTACTGCGAGCAGGAACTGTCCTACCACTGCAAGAAGTCTCGTCTCTTAAACACACCCGGTAATGTTTTTTCTGTAATATTACTGACCTTTCCACCACAATAACTGTATTAAACTTAATATTTTTTTGCATCTCCTCTTTTGATTGTTCATGTTCTGCTGAAATATCCACTTTTTAACTGAGTTACTGTGTGATTTTATTATACTAATATAATTTTAGTTTAAGAGGAATCAATTTTTAAAAATGCACCCCATTATCGTTCGTGAATCCCATTAGTTACATTTTTTGGTATATGCAAATTAATGATGACTCATCCGTGAGGGATTCATCGTGATAATTAATGTCACCACTTTACAATAAGGCTCTGTTTTGCCACTTATAAATGGTAGTAACTCATTAGTAAAAAGAAAACTATAACGTGTTTATAATTGTCTAATAATGATTTACAACCTAATTGTGTTACAACCTAATTAATGACCTGATTATAGACCATTCATAAACCCTTTATAAGGGTCGTCTTATTGTGAAGTGGTACCCAATTAACATGACAAGGTGGAGTAGGAAGGTCTGTGCAGTCGATGAATTGTCACACTCATGTCTGTTGTCTGAAGAAAACAAACATTATGTCAAAGATAAATATATAAATTTTAAAAATGTCAAATTAACAATAATGAGACAGATAGTTCCTTCAAGTAAACAGAGAAGTTCAAATGGATAAAGGTTAATAGACTAGAATTTGGAGACTGAATCGATGGGATTCTCTTTAATATCAAACATACAAAAGGTTACACAGTCCCACTTGTTTGAATGTGTGCATTGATTGTGCTGCCTAAGAAGGCTCCGCCAAGAACTTCTGTCACTGGGTCACCACAAAAATGTGGAAGACATGGCAATATTATTGCACGTTTGGTTATATTTGCAATCCGGTTTAAATATGGACGATCTCTCTGTGTCTAAGATGGAGCTTCCTTCATGTGGTGGGTGGGAAGAACAGATGAGGTGCAGACATACTGGGGTGGAGCAGGACCAGGGAGCCAAAAGTGTTCTTGTGGCCTACTGGGAAACTGCATAAACTCCAGCCTGTACTGCAACTGTGATGCTGACAGAAACGAATGGTATTCCACTGTTTTCATTTTGTTATTGATTGATGCTCAGAACTGCCACACATTTTTCAAAAAGACAAACAGCCAACTGACTTAATATTTAATCATATTGCAAAAGGTTATCATCAGAGTTCTGAATGTAGATTTTGAAACAAAGAAGCACTTAAGTACGTGGCAATCCAAGTGGATGTAATGCTAAATTTAGTATAATTTGCCATGGCGAATCAGCACAATAAATTATGGTAAGCGGCATAATGTTATCACGTACCTTTGGGTTTTCATCTGTTTTTTGCTTTTCTTTTTTCATTCAGGACCAGTGACACAGGCATCCTCTCATTTAAAGAGCATTTACCCGTTACTACAATATCTTTTGGGGACATAAACAGAGCAGGCTCAGAAGCAGCTTATAAGGTTGGGCATCTGCAGTGTTACGGTGACAGTAAGTGACACGCTACCTTTCTCAACATATTCTTACACCAATGTATCCTACAGAAACAGGACATAAATCAGAGAGCTACCGTTACAGCGATCAGCTACAATGAAAAACAATAGAACATGCTGAGCAGCATGAATTTATTTACACGGGCAGATGATACCTATAGCAATATATTGCAGATGCTGGTAGCGGGGTGCTGTAACATTTAGCTGGAAATCATTAACCACTTTGCTATGTTTTTATGTTAACTTTCATTTCAGAGAAATTTAATTTCTGCAGTGTCGATATTTCTTGTGGATAAAACATGTCACTTTTGTTTTCAATTTCAGAGAACTTCTGGAATGCTGCCTTTTTCACTAAGGAGACGTCATACCTTCACTTCCCCACTTTTCATGGGGAACTTAGTGCTGATATATCTTTTTTATTTAAGACCAGGGCCTCATCTGGTGTGTTCCTGGAAAATCTGGGAATTAAAGATTTCATTCGCATTGAACTCGACTGTAAGTAGATGCAGATTTATATACATTTTTATTGACTTATGTTGAATGCATTGTATTGAAAGTTCTTTAGTAAAATATACCTACGGGTATGGTGGTTCTGTGAGTAATACTGTGGCCTCATGCTCCCAGGGTCGCTGGTTCCATTCATGCCCCCAGCTCCAACTGTTCTTCCCCACCCCATAACCTGGTTTCCTCCAACAAGTCAGAAACATGCAGTTTGGTGAATTGCTTTCTAAGCTGCCCATAGTGTGTTTCCCTGGTCTATTTGAGATAAACTCCAAGCACACCATGATCTTGTACTGAATAACAGGAAAAGGAAAATTATGGATAAAGTAATTAATATGACATTTTTTTTGCTTGCATTTTAATTTGTAGATGCAGTGTAATTTTGTGTTGCTTGATATTTTGCTTGACTGAACAAACCGCATGTGAAATCAACATGGAGCCTTGTGATAAATATCATGGTATTTCAAAACAGATAGGTTTAAGTGATGAATATTAAAAGAAATACATTTTTTTAAGTTTGATTTGTTCTATCTGCAGTATGTGATTATTATTATTATTATTGTCTGTCTGTCTGTTTGTTTGTTTGTTTGTTTGTTTACTCTTCAGCCCCGTCTGAGGTTGTTTTCTCGTACGACGTGGGAAATGGTCCATTTGATGTGAGAGTTAAGACACAGACTCCATTAAATGACAACCGGTGGCACTATGTGAAAGCTGAGAGGAATGTGAAAGAAGCTTCTCTGCAAGTGGATCAGCTACCTACTCGGAGCCAGAAAGCCCCTGTCAATGGGCACATTCACCTACAACTCAACAGCCAATTATTTGTAGGTAGGAAATCATTTCTCCCATTACACACTGCTTAGTAAAAGCTGCTTTTTCCATAACTGATCCGTTATTAACACACTGGCATATTTCATAGCTAAGTAGTCAAAATGCTTGCAATGATGTTAGGGAAGCACACTCGTAATTGAAAGATCGCAGGTTCAAATCCCCGACCAGCAAGGCACCACTGAGATACCCTGAGCAAGGTACCGTCCCCAAGCACTGCTCCCCGGGCGCTGAATTAGCTGCCCCCTGCTATGTCACATTGTCACATATGGGTTAAATGCAGAGAACACATTTTATTGTTGTGCACTGTGTGCTATGGTGTGTCAACAATGACAACTAATCACTAAATTCTAATATTATGTCACAATCAAAGTACATTTCCTGAAGTAACTTACAATATTGTCCATATTTATGATGGTCTTAAGCTACTACATGTTGTATAACTAAGCAGAGGTTAGTTTATATTTGTTATATTATCATTGCTTTGTTGTTGCTCATGTTGCTAGGGCATTCTACTGTAAGCTCTGTCATTTCTACATGTCAGTATATACTGAGACAAAGAATCATTCATCAGGTTAAAGATCAAAAAACCCTGTTTCAAACAGAATTATTTTTCTCAGTTCAACACATTGGATCACATTGACGAGCTTGGTCTGTGCATGCCTGCCCTTGCTCTCAATTATCGAATACCTGCTACTTGAAAGTCATATAGGATAAGCACCTACATCGCAAACCTTGTGCAATAGCTAATGCTGCAGTAGTTGCATGCAAATCAAAAGACAAATATATAAACATACAAGCTAATAAATTAGACCGAAGAAGGAAGAACACAGTGTGATGAGAGAAGTATCGATTTCATGGTCTTAGGGAGTAATCCCCAGGAATTACTGCAGGCAAGTGTTGACTGTCTCAACACTAGTCACAATTTAAACTGGATTTGTTGGTAATCCATCTGGAATCAATGGATGTATCCTGAGACCGCAAATTCCAATTACAAGAAAAAAAAATGTATGAAATTCACATTAAAACTTTTTGCTCAAATTATGATCCTTCTTTAAAGTACCACAGACCCTAGATAGCAAGCTCTCTGTTTAACTTAGGTAAGGTATAGTAATAAATCATTAATGTTTTTAAAACAAGCAAATTAGAATATGATATTAATAATTCTTATAGGATTCTGGTTCATGAGATACAATGAATTGTTCAAATACATGCTTATGTTTTGAAAATGAGCACCTTTCAAATTTCTCTTGTGCTTGCATAAGGCTATTCATTTCTCAACACGTGGACATTTGCAGGTTTGCCAACTCTCACACATCTGGCGAGACATTCACGCTTTCAGACTCTCACACTCATGCAAGAAATCTTAGAACAAATCTACATTATTTCATTATAAACCTAAAATTAGTTACATCAAAAGTGTTAGGGTAGTTTGCAAACCATACAGACTATTTTCAAGGTAATAAAACTGTCACATGCATGTAAATTAGCGTGCACACTTGTGTTGAATTAAAAATCTCACTGCAGCCAGCTGCCCATAGTTAACTACCTTGCATTTGCTGTCTTTATATCATGTTATTAGAGAAGCAAAACTGATCTGCTTTAGTTCTGCCTAACAGGTGACTGTCATTTAAGAGGAGCTGCTTTGTTTTGATGCTGGGATACATGTTTCTAATGAGATGCTTTCAGTTGGAGGAGCACTCAAGTTATAAAAACTTTATAATAAGGCCATGTAACAACGTGGCCGTGGGGGTGCCAGAGCCGTGCTGGGCGTCGCGGTCCCACTCACCTACAGTCGGCGGCTAATAAAGTCACAGAGATGCAGCCCCTTTCAGGCCCTCGGCCTGCACTCAAAAGTGAGACCATGAGGAGACAGAGGGAAGAAAGAATGGGAAGCACTTGTAAAGGCGCACGGACACAGACTCCACTAAGACAGCAGGCGCACGGACACAGACTCCACTAAGACAGCAGGCGCACGGACACAGACTCCACTAAGACAGTCCGTCCAGGCGCCCCACTTAATCTAGGCTACTTCCTGCATCTGGCACTTGAGCTTTACCCCTCCCCCACAACCTCTCTCTCACCCTGCCACAGGCTGCATACTGAGTCCTAGCTACAGATAATGCTCACAGAATGTGTAAGTAAAGCAAAGGTGGAAAAATGTTACCGGAAACTGCCCTCTGCCCGTGAGAGTAAGATGCCCTCCTAAGTGGCTCAGTCCGCACAGCAGTGAGCAGAGTGGGATACGCCGTGCAGATTGCAGCTCAGGTTCACATGGTGTCATTTGCCAGTTGAGACTGGGATCCCCGAGCAGTGGGGTAAAATTGCCAGGGGATGGGGGGGTCTGTCGGCTCTGTGGAGCAGTCGGTTTTGGTGACTGATGGGCTGATTGCCAGCACCGAGGGCGGTGTCACTCCTTCGCTCTGGGCTTAGCTTCCCAACATGAAAACTGCAAAAAAGAAGAAGTGAGTGGAGCTGTTAGAGGATGAGGAACCACTGGAGGACAGAGTTCTGCTTCCTGGTAGGCAGGAAGGTAACGTGGGAATGAGAGATAGATATAAAATCGGTAATGACTGTCAATGGGGAAGTACCGTATATACACAGACACACACCCAAACATACACACATAACAACCAAAGATATTATATGTTTGTTTGTTTACTTATGGGTACTGGATGCTCAGTTCTGTTGTTCAGCTTAGTAGTAAATAGGTGTGTGTGTGTGTAATAAATCAAGTTACTATTGTGATTATCTGTACCATTGCACTGCATGTTGATGTTGTCACGGTCATTTCTATTATTTCCCAACAACCAAAGAAGAGGAAACTGAAAACATCCTCATGTGCTTAAAAAATCCTGAGTGTCTCAGGAAGTCAGAGTGTCCCAGGAAGTCAGAGAGTCCCAGGAAGTCAGAGTGTCCCAGGAAGTCAGAGAGTCCCAGGAAGTCAGAGTGTGCCAGGAAGTCAGAGTGTCCCAGGAAGTCAGAGAGTCCCAGGAAGTCGGAGTGTCCCAGGAAGTCAGAGTGTGCCAGGAAGTCAGAGAGTCCCAGGAAGTCGGAGTGTCCCAGGAAGTCAGAGAGTCCCAGGAAGTCAGAGTGTGCCAGGAAGTCAGAGTGTGCCAGGAAGTCGGAGAGTCCCAGGAAGTCAGAGTGTGCCAGGAAGTCAGAGTGTGCCAGGAAGTCAGAGAGTTCCAGGAAGTCAGAGTGTGCCAGGAAGTCAGAGTGTCCCAGGAAGTCAGAGAGTTCCAGGAAGTCAGAGTGTCCCAGGAAGTCAGAGTGTCCCAGGAAGTCAGAGAGTCCCAGGAAGTCAGATTGTGCCAGAAAGTTGCTAATGAGGGAACAGTGAGAGTGTATAGTAGGCTGACCTCAGGAATTAGGATGTGAAAATGTGAAAATCGTTATCAAAAACCAGGTAGAAAGCCATTTCATGGAAGTAACATTTGCATGAATTGCCACTCACAACTTTTTATTGTTGCCATCGAGTGGACATTATGGGCTTTTTACAAAGCTGCTTTTATAGGGCAGGGGAAATAGGTCTGGGACCGCCGTGCCGATGTCCACCATGGAAACGGGAAAGAAAAAGGGGGAAGAACACATGCCTGTCTTTGTTTCTGCAGGAGGCACAGCGTCAAGGCAGAAAGGCTTTCTGGGATGCATCCGTTCTTTACAGCTGAATGGAGTAACGCTGGATCTTGAGGAACGGGCCAAGATCACGCCTGGAGTAAAAGCAGGTTGCCCTGGTCACTGTAGCAGCTATGGCAGCCTCTGTCAGAATGAAGGCAGATGTGTGGAGAGGTACAATGGATTTGAGTGTGACTGCAGTTTTTCTGCATTTTTGGGACCATTCTGCACAAAAGGTAAAAAAGAAACATAGATAAAATATTTCTTGGGCCATTAAAACTATACATTTTATATATATATATAATTTATTTATTTATTTTAAAGCATATGTGGTTATATTCAATATGAACTACAAACAATTTTATGAAAAATTGTGAGGGAGGCATGTGACTGAGGTGTGAAAATGTTTAAAGGTCTACATTATGTTTTGTTTGTTTGTTTGCTTGTTCTTGCAGGTCCTGCCCTCTGTTATACCACATTGGTTTGCTTAAGATTAATGAAAACATTAAAAGCTGTATATATTACCAGACTGATGTCGCCAAGTATGACATCGTACTGAAAATCAGGCCAAGAAACTGCTGCAAGTTTTAACTAGGTGCCTAGTTTTAAATGACACAGCACAGCACCATTGTTTAGTAGTGTTTGAGTCATGTCGCAGGTAGCTTGTAAAGCTTAAAGAAGATAATTACTTGCAACATAACTTGCGACATAACGTAGCAGTGAAAAATATTGAAAAATATGTGTAAATCTCTGAATCAGATAAGAATATTTGGTTGTATTGCATAAGGTATATGCCCCTTATATACTAAATTAATTAGGGTAGGGTGACTTTTTTGATAATGAATTATAACTGCATGAAGACTGGATGGATACTATTCAAATTATCCATCCATCTTCAAACTGCTTATCCAATACAGGGCTGCAGTTATCTATAATTAAACATGTATTTTTTTAATCAGTAACTCTGAACGTGTGTAAAACAAAACAAGCCAATCTACTGCATTGTAAATTAACTTTTAGCTTTTCTCCTTTTAATTTTTTCTAATTGTCCAATGCTAAGCATAATAACTAATGAACACTAAGCAATAGTAATTAACAAAGTGTAGGTTGTGTCCCATTATATAAAAATATACTCGTAATGCATATCCACAGAGCCAATAATGCAAACCAAATGTTTAATTAGTGGGCATTATAACATTTATTTTGAAACAACGTTTTCACAGTTTTTAACACAGAATTTAAAATAAGGGAAAAAATAGGGCTTTTCACCTTGTGCACTTTATTTAGTGGGGAATTTACTTGCTGGACATCTCCATCATGGCTGATTAAATGGGAGCTCAGCTAAAGAACACCAGCAACATGCTGAATCGTGATACAGCGGGTATTTGGTCTGGCTCCATTCATTTTTCATATCCTTTTTCGCTGCTAATCCAATGCAGCACCACTGTGAGCCTGATCATATGCCAGAAAGCATGGGGCGTCCATCCACAGGATGTCGGTCCATCGTACGGCGCACACAGTCAAATCCCAACCCAATGTGTGCATGATGTTAGAAAACTTCCCGCCAGCACCCAGAATTATAATAAGATATAGAATTCCTCAGTTAGTAAAAGTGCAGTGCATTGCTCTCTATTGTAAGCCAGTGCTGCAGTTGAAAACGGTTTCCCAGATACAGTATTACTTACCTGGACTAGAACAATAGGTTTTTCAGTGAGGTTTTGGCTTGCAAACTCACATCAAAACACACCAACCGAAAAATAAGAAGCGGTTTACCAGAAAGGAAAACTGAACCATAGGTTTAACCATCTGTCGCTCAACTGCATTTAGTTTATAACGCATATTTTTGGGTAAAAGGGTCTGCTGTACACATAAATGTCAAAATAGTTTCAGACTCGGAGTTGTTCCCTGGGGTGGCGCAGTGGTGAACACCGTTGCCTCGCACCTCTGGGACCAGGTTTTGTGTCTCTGCTGTGGCTCCATGTCTGTGGATGTTCTCCGTGTGTCGTCGTGCTGTTTCTTCTGGGTGCTCCCCTTCTGCTCACGTGGTTCACGCATATCGTTGCTGGCACACAGGTATAGCCAACCGCAATATAGAACAACTCCAGTGAAAAAAGCAGTGACAGTTTATTAAAAAAGAAAACATATGACCATCTTAAGCAATGCCAAGCCATAGTAATGCAGCTTGCATACGCAATTACAGCAAATGGCCTGCCAGGGCTGGCTGCTTATCTTGCAAATCGCTCAATAGTTACGATCTATTGTCCACTCAGAGCCTTTCGGTTCTGGACAGAGGAGATTTTTTAGTTTTTAGTCTTGTCTTAAAGACAAAGTGTTTAAAAATCCTTTGCCTGGTTCCATTTGTATGGTTAACAATACATACTGTATGGCTGCAAAATAACAGATATTTTGATAAAGGAGCTGAGGAACAGTGCATATATCATCACAGAGAATAAGTGGTCTCTCTCAAGGGACATAAATGTCAGAAGAAATAGTTAATTATTTCTATTTAATATTGTTTTCCCTATGGGGGGCTTGGTGCCACAGTGGCTAGCCCGTTTGCAGGGTGTCTGTATGGACTTCTGAATGTTCTCCCCATGTTTTGATATTTCCCCCCACAGTCCAAACGAGAACTGGCATCTCTAATTTTTCTCTAGTTTATATGTGTGTATGTTTGTGGGTGGGGGGGCAGGATGGACTAGGATCCTGTCCCGGGTACTTTGCTGCTTTGTGCCCTATACTTCATGTCATAGGTACCAAGCCCTATATTGGATAAGTGGTTATTAGATGGATGGTGGCAGGAGTGGATACTTCAGGGCCAGCAAGTTAAAATCCAGCCCAAGATTTCGTTTCGACCAACCAGTTGACTGCTCTGTGACTGTGACTCTTTATGCTGAACTGGTTGGTTGAACCAAAATCTTGGGCTGGATTTTTTCTTTCTGGACCAGAACCATCCACCTCTGGATGGTGAAGGGATGATTTTCTTAAGTTCTCTCCTAGAACTTGAATCGGAACCCCACAAGCTTTTAATCATCATATCTATCATTAGTTTTTGTAAATTTGTATATAGTCATTTCACCTGGAGTAACAAATGCAAATGAGATATAACATTTAGTCTGGAAACATACTTTATATCACATCATTAACAAATTAATTAACTACCTTATAATGGGACTGTGAATCGGTCATGCTTACAGCAGTATCGTGATTTGTTTTCTTAGCTTTTGTTTGACTAGATTGTTTGATAATCAGATAGATAGATTGATAGATAGTTGACACTTTACTGATGTGAAATGAATTACCTGTAAATTAACAGATTTACATCTGCATTATAATTAAGGTCTGCTTTAACACAACAGTGTAATAATTATATTACAGGTTATTTTTGTTTTGATTGTTGATTGTTTTGCTTAGAGTGCCAAGAATAGTGGCAAGTTACTTTGACAGTTTCAATTGCCGCTGTGCTTGACGGAACATCACTTAAAGTAAGGGATTCATTTTTCAAGATGAAGCCATTACCGATTATACCCATTAAGTTTGTCAGAGTAGTGTCTGTCAAAGTGCACCCAAAAACAGTTTTACAAGGTAAGTCAGTTGCAGTTCTATTGTGAAAAGTGACAGTGCAATGTTGCTTAGGTATGAACTTCAATTCCATAGGGTAGACAGGATCTTGAGTTTGATTACCATAATAAGCAGGCACTGGTAATATTTTGGACAAAAGCAACATTTACAAATGAACATCTGATGGTATCAGTTTAATGCGAATGTAAAAATGTCTTGTAATCATAATCTTACTGATGCTGACAGGCAGATTAGAGAGGAAGTCAGCAAATTCTCCAGTAAATCCAGGGAATGAGCCAAGAGCTAGCTGAGGTAGCAAGAAAAAGAAAGTTGTGAGAGGCAGTAGAACTTTTATTACCATCAGGAGTGTTCACATTTAACAGTGAAAATGCCTGAAAACAACCATTTTAATCTAGATGTTGGAGGTCAATAGAAACCAGATTTATAGGTAGTGGCAAGCTTACTAGCAATGATGGTTTTTATTTAAACAGAAGCTAATAAAACACACTCAGATCCCGTGACCCAGGTTCTCAGCCACGTTTCCCCAAATATATTTGGCTCTGGAAACTGATTTTGCATTTTTTTTAAAAACCAGCCTGATACACTTTACCCTTTTTCACACATGCATCATGATTGTGGGAGCTGTTTGTAAATCTTATCAATTAGAAACCTTTTGATCATACTTTTCCATTAAACTTCTTAATCACACATGTAATGACTATACCTTCTCATTAATAAGACTTCAAATACCCTGCTGTTGCTGTAACACACGTGTTAAAATATTAATTCTTTAGTCATTCATTAAGATGATGCCTCTCAATCATAGACATATATTCATTTGAAATTAGATATATTAATGGGTCTTCCCTTTAAAACTAGTACTGTATCTCTATTACAATGAATTTACTATTTATATCACTATTTCACAAGTTCTGTTTTAGTAGTTAAACTACTATAAGAGAAAATGGTATATATGATATTTAATAACTTGTGACTATTAATTTAACCTATAAATGTGTCTGTCTCTGTAGTATTTAACAAGACAGTTGTATTTCAGGATTGATTACAGTCCATGCCATAGTAGTGCATAACAACCCATACATTTTATTTTTTTAAAGCAGGTAAATACCCTTGTTACAATAATAAAATAAGATTAGAAAATAGAACCTGTCAAGTGTATAGAAACATGACTATACCGTATAAAATAGATAATATGGTAAATATATTAAGCAACCAATGGTGTTGAACAGCAGTATTGTACAATACTTTTGCAAAGGGACAAGATTCTGCTAATCTGAACAATTAGTGTACACAGGACACAGCTGTTTGCCAGAATATAAAACACGACTAAAATATTCTTATCCATGTCCCACACCTGCTAATCTAGGACAGAAGATAGTGAAGCTGGAGTCCATCCCAAGAAGTACAGGGTGCAAGGAGGGGGGCTCCCTGGGGGGTATGGCTGGGAGAGCGTAAAAATGTATAAACAATAGAGCTAAGACTCCCTGTCAAACTGATTAACCACATACTGTAAGCAGTGTAGCTTCCCCTGCATAGGAGTCTGCATAGGAAAAGCAGGTACAGAGGATGGATGGATGGATAGATGTGCAGTGCAGTGCAGCTTTTTATTTATTTTTACTAACCGCATTTTTGTCGTAGAACCTAAAACGGGAACATGGCACCCGTACAACATATACAGCATAGGTATAAATAAAGAATGGGGTACACAGCCAGCATAAAGTATAGCTTATAGCGTATATAGCTAAACTATAATGAGGTGTGGTCAGTTTGTAAGTGTGCGTTTAAATGACAATTATTTGTGTGTGTTCACTGAACTACCCAGTTTCCTTTGGTAACATTATAAGCAAAGTTAATGAGTTTATACAAAAACCAGTCTACACTCCCTCTATATGTGATGTTGTCCAACATGTCCTTTGAAGTCTCCACAGGTTTTCTGCTATTATGACAAACTTTGTATATTTATTCAACTATATGACGACTCTTCTAACCCAGTTGTTAACTATTTGAATACATTTGTTTGAACGCACTCTTTCCTCTTTTTTATTTATTTCAGAGGTCTCTGCTTACTTTAAACCTGGAACATCTATAGCGTACACCTTTAAGGAACCATATGAACTGAACAGAAATGCAAGTTCCCAATCGTCTTCTATTTACTCAGATTTGACTCTTAGAGGTGAAATCATTGCATTCAGTTTCCGCACAACTCAGGCTCCTGCACTGCTCCTGTATGTTAGCTCGTACTACCGGGAGTACCTTGCAGTCGTGCTCAACAGAAATGGTGAGTTGAACATACATTACCTCACCTTCGTTCATTCATTTCATATGCTGCTTCTTCAGAAATTTTTTTTGGAAATGCTCAGTTTCTAAAGAGTCTTTACGTACATATTCAGTGTTATTCCTTTCAGAATAAGTCAATTCTGTCATGATTACTAGCTAAAATATATTATTAATGAAGTAAGCAGAAGTAAATATATAAATTGCAGAACTTTAAATTGTGACTTTTGTTTTAAAATGTTCCTATAAATACTCCCATTCTATACTCCCATTATCCCCCATAAATACTTCCATTCTATACTCCCACTTTACCCTACAAATACTGTGCTCCCATACCATCTGTATTGAACTGAATTTGTTTGACGATCACTCGCAGCTGTTTATGAATATTACATTTCTTCAGAGGGCAAACTGATCATTTTATGGTTTTTAGCTCTTATAATGTAGGTGCTGAATTAATTAAAATGATAATAATCAGGTGAAACTTTGCAGTCACAAGGCGATTATATTACATAGAAAGTAGCACTTACTAATTGCATTAAACCGCTCCTGCTAGATGATTATGTATCTTAAAACATCTAAATTTGTTGGTCTGCTGAGAATTTTTTGGGAGTAAGTATTTTGGGAGAAATGATTAATTTATGAATTTATCAATATAGGCCAGAATCTACTTCACATTATATTTAATTTAAAGTATATGTTCTTCTTTTGTGCCTTTAAAATGCATGACAAATGGCTTATTGTTTAAAGGTTACTTGGATATTAAGTACAAATTGCAAAATAACAAAGATGCAGAAGTATTCAGGATACATACAAGAAATATTGCAAATGGACTGATACATAAAGTGATCATAAAACGGCAAGCAGATGCTCTTAGTGTTCAGGTAATGTATTTTTTTTTGCTTTCTGACATTTTTCTTTAAATAGATTTTTTTTTAAGTGTGCATCTAAAATTTGTGAATGTTTTCTTGCTGATGGACAGTTTAATTTCCTAAACACTGCTGTGCATGAAATAACTTTATCAATTAGGCCAAGCTTTCATAATAATCATATTTTGAACATGTAAGCCCACCTAGAAAACTGGTTCAGAAGCAGTTCTTATAACTGAATGAAATGGGCTCAACACCAATTCAATGATGCGTTTAAAGTACTTTCGGAAAGTGGCTTTAATTAAAAAGCTCTCTATGGAAGAATACACATTCGATCATTTGAAACATGGTTGTGTCAATTTCCATTCTAAACAATTCACTGTATTTACTGGATCCTTTATTTCCTAGATTGACCAGAACGCCAGAGAGGAATTCAATATAACATCTGACACTGAATTCAATGCAATCAAGTCAATTGTTATTGGAAAAATATATGGTAAGAAAAGCTATACTTGGCTGTTATTGTGGATAAATCATTGGTGCGTTAAGGAGGATCTCATTTGTTTGTAGCTACATTACCTCCATATTTTGTTTGCTCAGAATCAAAGAAAAAAAAACATCTTTCCTGTGATACTTACAGTAAAATTAAATACAACACTAAATGTTTTGCTTTGGAGCAAGAACAATATGTTCGGTTTTTACTTCATCAAAATTCATGTTGTCTTTAAAGTTGAATAACAAAAAAAAATACGTGATTTGGGGATTTTGTTTTATCCACTATGTTATTTATATATTATTTTTTTACCTCAAATATATAAAATGCTAAAAATATATATTTCTATTAAATCTATAGCCTAACAAATCTGTAAATCTTTAGAAAACATGTGTCGAATTAATGAAAACTTTAAATATCTTAGGGACATGGGTAGAAGGAGGACTCAAAAAAGATCGGAACATGATATTTTCACTCTTATGAATGCAAAATATGTTGGTTCTTGAATGAATATGATTAATAGCTCATTAGTGCAATTGCACGTTGTCACAGCTTTGTTTAATTGGATGTTTTCTTTCATATGAAGGTGAATAAATCTGCATCTTAAACACACATAAAGAGTTACTGAAAGGGTTTTATACGTCAACAGACACAAAATGAACTCAAAAAGGACTTTACCCCTTGAAAAACGGAAACATTTGTTAATTCACAATTACAAATACAGCTACAAAGGTGAGGCATAATGACAATTAGCAGTGTTAATTAGAGGTCTGACAATCAACACTCTGACATGTGAATCCCAATAGAGCCAATGCCAAAATTGCAGGTGCATCAATCACAAAAACCTGCCTAATTATTTAATCTTTCAAGGAGAAAAGTCACAAAAACCACAACAGAATATGCATCAAGAAAAAAAAACATATTCTGTACACACAAGGAGCCACAGCAGGGACTTGAACCCTGTTTTCCCAGGTGTGAAGTAACAGTGCAAAGCACCTCACCACCATGCTGTTCCAGGGGAAAATGCTTGAGTTTTTCAAATATTTTTACATTTATCTTTTTTTCCCTGCTTGTAAAAATATGCTTTACAAAGCTAAATGCAGCTGAGCAATTGATAGCTAAGTCTCAGGTTCAGTTTTCCTTTCTGGTAAACTAGATTTCACCTTTTGGTTGTTGTTTTGATGTGAGTTTGCAAACCAAAACCTCTTGCAGTTCGATTTCACTAGTTAATCAGAGGAGGGTTATAATGTGGACACCTATATGTAGTATATATGTATATATGTGTGCGTGTGTCTACATATTTACATATACAGTGGTACCTCAGAACTCGAATTTAATCCGTTCAGAACTCGGATCGAATCCTAAAAAGTTCGAGTTGTGAACGAATTTTCCCCAAAAGAAATAATGGAGAACCAATTAATTGGTTCCTGGCCCCCAACAAATTGCATCTAAATATGTTTTTTTAGCATTTAAACACAAAATGAACCGGATAAATCAAGAAGAGCATATACTGTACTAAGCACATTTATCAAAACAGTAATTTGTAAAGTAAGAAAATAAATGTATCCAGCTAGTGTAAACATGCACGATGCTATCACAGTGAATGCAAGGCTGAGACTGAAGCGTTACCCTTTGTTTTCGCTGAGAGATGTGCCGCGTGACTCATGTCCCCGCGCGTACAATTTATCTTAGGTTGGCGTTCACGATTTGACTTCTGAGATTCAGATCAAGCTCTAGGTAATTTTTTTTCGAACTGGTTGGTTCGACTTTTAAGAAATTTGAGTTCTAATGAGTTCGAGAACTGAGGTACCACTGTATATTAATAAGATGTTTTAATTCCAACATTACTATAAATGTATTACATGCATAATATAGTATGGATTCATAAAAACACCCATTGGCTATAATTGTTGCTACACAAGTTTGGTATTGTGTTCATGTATACTACAATGGACTTTATTTCAGTTTTCTGCTGAATGTCTGCATAGAAAAGAAGTTCATTAGATTCTTCTGTTAAAAAAACCTAGGATAAACAAATATGCTGGATAGATGTGCACATCCTCCCAAGAAATAGTTTAATTAGTACAAGTCAAAGCTCCTTCAAACTGCCAGAGGATCTCCTGTCCTGCTCATAGCCTTTTTAGAGTATTCCACAATTTTTTCTCCATGGGGCAGAGGTCTGGACGCTGACTTGGCCATTCCAAGGTTTTGATCATGATTTTCAGAAGCCATTTTTAGTTGACTTTGAAGTGTGCATTTGGTCATTATCATGTTGGAAAGTGAAATTCCTCTTCATCTTCAGATTTGGATAGAGGTCAGCTGTTTTTTTTCAGAATATCTTAATATTTGTAGCTAGTCATTACCCCATATATCTTGACTAGAACCTCTGAATGTGTTTATGTGTATTTATATATTTTTGGTTGGTTTGGACGTTATGTTGTGTGAGGAATACAATAGTTTCAGCCACAAAACCCCATGGCTCATACACTTCCAGAGAATGGGAAATTGTTGTCATATGCAAGGAATATCCAGTATCTGCCAGAAAGTACTGTTTCTCCTTTACTATTTAATGTTAAGATTTCTACTTGTCTTGCTGTCACATTTGGAAGTTTGCCTTTATCTTGGTAATGTTCCTCTGGTGTCATATTTTCCGCACTAATTGATGATAGTCTTCATTGTGCTCCATGGTACCGCTAATATTTTTGGCACCCTTCTTTAAATCGATGCCTTTCAGGAACCCATAGATGTTTTGTGACCTTGTGTACCATACAGGTCTGTTCCAACATGATGCAACCACAAACTAGGAAATCACAGACAGTTAATTAGTGTCTCTTTCATTGATAGATATGCAAATTATCATATGATACTATTTACCTTCACAGATGATTTTGAATGTGATTGGTCACCTCTGAACACTGAAATAGCAATCATTATTAAATGGTGTACACACTTATACGACCTAAGTATTGTTTTTTGTCCCACTAATTATTTATTTTTCATTTGAATTTTGTTTGTTGCAAGGTCACATTAAAGAAAATGCCGTGATACCTCAGTGATAGTGTATTGACTGTAATTGGCATGCCTTCTGTGTATTGCATTGTGCTGCATGTGTGTCCAGATGCATAAAAATATCTTATTGACAAAAATGACTCAAGCAAGACAAAAACTGGAATCTGTTAGTAATTTACATTGTGGATTAGTCAAAGAGGTATGAAAATCGGTCAAATGGTTTAACAATAACGTTCAAAATTTAAAGCAGAATAACATTGCAAATAAATGCAGCATGTAATTCTCACGCAAAAATATAGCGAATATAGGATACTATACGGAGTACTATACCCATGAGGAAGGAAATGAATTTGTGTTAAACAATGCAAGCATAAAGAAATAAATATAAATATTGGGTAAATAAAGTGTACTTTAGGCTTCCAATTAGCCTTTTCTGAGAATAGAATGCCCCATGGTCCCATAATAGGGTGATGTAATAAGTGGCTATATAATAAGTACAGTAATGACAGACTGTAGATAGAGAATACTGCATTGAAAGCTTACAAGTTAGGATGCACCTTTGAACCTCTGTTTTTTTTCATCCTGTTGTTCCTACAGACAGTAGTGACCTGGACCCTGATATTTCCCGCCTGAATTTTCTGGGCTTCACCGGGTGCCTCTCTGGGGTGCAGTTCAACAGCCTTGCTCCACTTAAGGCAGCCCTGCTCTACCCAAATAGCAGCCCCGTCACTGTTAAGGGGTATCTCTACGAGTCACAGTGCGGAACCTCACTGACAAATCCCTTCGCTGTGGAAGCCACTCATTCATTGTCAGGTAAAGTCTTGAGTAACATGACATAAGGTCAATAAGAATAACCGAAGCTAAATTAACAGTTATCAATAATGGAACCTTGGTAGGAAGTCTATATGGTAACACTTAAAGCAATCATTATAATGCATTATAATACATTCATAAAGTATTCTACAGACGGCTATAACTATTTATAAAAAGCTGTAACACATTAAACAGTATGAAGCTGTCATCTTTAATGCACTGTAGATACCTTATTACTGTACCTTATACCTTATAAATACCTTATTATATAGATACCATACACACATTAAAATGCATTATGAAGGTATTTATAGTGCATTATAGATGACAGCTTCATCGAGCATTCATAATAATAAACATGGCTATGTCTTATGCCTTTTTACAGATAGTTATAGCCTTGTTTATAATACTTTATGAATGCATTATATGAAGGTATCTATAATGCATTATACACGAGTGCTTTAAGTAAAGTGGTAAAATATAGATTTACCATTTGTAAATTTACATGTTAAATAATAATCAGAAGTTACACAGGTTTCTCTTTCCCAAAGCATGTCCTCTTTATCTATGTGTATCTCCAGTGTTTTGTACATATCTGTTTTCATGAATTTTACGTTTGTTAAAGCTAGAATTTATCTGCAGATTTTTTTAATGTTTATATAATTATTCTACAGGGTTGCATTATTACTATGTGACTGATCGTGTATCAAGTATAGTTTATATTTATTTGCTGTGATTTATTTTAATATTGAAAACATTTCTCTGTGCATACTGTAACTGCAATGATTGAAAAGAGGAAAGATGTTGCATAATATGCTAGGAAGCACATGTTATGACTGATCACATCTGAACAATAGCAATCTTTTCTGTCCTTCTGTCTTTTCTGTCTCCTTTATCTTTTTCTGCTTTTAGATCATTCGGGTACAATAGATACCACTGAGCCAATAGTCAATGCAATAAGGAGCGACTCTGCTCTAATTGGAGGTAACAGGGACTGTAGTTTACCAGTAATACTGCTGTAATTTTGAGCATTGCTATACAATCTGATAAAAAAAGACGCAATCAGTATTCAATTCATATTCAGCATGTCCTGGTGTCACAATTATATATTTCAAATTTCTATCATTGTTCTCATCAGTAATGTGAGACGACTCATTTATGTATTCATTTAATTTTGTAATTTAGGGGATTTTGAGACTGACAATACACACACACACACATATATACAAGGGTTGACATAACTGGTACACATAAACCTTTAAAAGCGATATATGCGGCGATCAATTAATGTAACAGCGCAGATACGTACGTATTTTATGTGCATTTGCGCCGATATGACAAAAAAATACCGTGCATTTTAACCTCTATACTGCAAATGAAGTATGAATTAGCATATAAAGGTTAAGATGCACGATAATTTCTTATTATATTGGTGCAAATGCACATAAAATACGTACGCATTCACGCTGTTACAACGATCGATTGCTGCACATATCGCTTTTAAAGGTGAATGCGTGCTTGCATACCAGGTATGTCAATCCTTGCATATATATCTACAGGTATATATGTGTGTGTGTGTGTGTGTGTGTGTGTGTACGTGTGTGTGTATGAAGTGAGTCTACTGCATTCCCTGAATTACAAAATTTGTTCCTCAAATTACAAAATCTGCTTCAAATGCATGCCTTTTGTGTCTTATTTTCCTGATCTAAATTTGTCTTCAAGTACTTTCTTGTTTTGGCATGGAACTCTCCAATCAGCATTGACATTCAATTTAGTGCACTGCATTGTCCTTATAAATTCCCATACAAATCCATTGTTCAAATCCATTCCCATCCACTGGCTTGTCTTTATCCAATCTCATGCACTACATTGTTCCTATCCATTCCCATCCACTGGATTCTCTTTATCCATTCCCATGCATTGCATTATTCTTATCCATTTGCATCCACTGGATTGTCCTTTTCCATTCCCATTCACTACATTGTTCTTATCCATTCCCATCCACTGGATTCTCCTTAATTTATACACTTCATTCATGCCATCCTCTGGAACTTTCCATGACACTTTGGTCTTAATCTTCAGTGATCTTTTTCCAGGGAATTAGTTGCTGGTTAATTATAAAGCAGCAACTATGTTGATGATTAATAATTAATAAGTAGCAAATATAATTACCCAAGGTCTGTAAATACAAACGCTCCTCTACTTATGAACAAGTTACGTTCCGAATGGCCGTTCATAACTTAAAATGTTCGTAAGTCTTTATTCAACATCATTTTAAGGGTATACGCAAGTACAAAGAACTGGGATATGCTGGGAGTACGCACTCTACGCGTAATTCTAGCCGGAATTGGCGTGCAGAAAATAAAATGATGTTGCAGACAGGAAACACGAGCCCAACGAACACAATTTGGAATTACAGTCCTCTTTGTTCTTATGTCTGAAAGTTCGTAAGTAGAGGAGCATCTGTATTTTACATTCAGATTTAATTTACAGAGTTCACCAAAACCAACAAGCAGCTAAAAACCTATTAACTCACCAAAGAACTTAGGGTGCATCCGAAATTGCATACTTGTTTTCTAATTAGTAGGCGAAATATAGTATGCAAAAATCCAAAGTGTGCAAAAGATGGATGCTGTGCTCTCCAACAAGGCAACTGGAGCTGCAACCCAGATGAAAAACATTACTTACTCAGAAATTTTTTGTCAAGATGATGGAGGAAGTGCCATCTCTATACAAATTTAAGTAGAAAAAATCCCCAGTTACATAAATTGACTCAAATATGCATTTTTTTATTGATAGTTTCTAACAGTTTTCCTGGGGGTTAAGCTACACCAATGGTAAAAATCTGGGTCAGGCAATATGCAAGATGGCGACTGAAATGTGTCCAGTGGTATGCATACTGTTCTCATGCATGCATACAGCATTAATGGTTGAGTAGTAGGCTTCTGATGAAATTCAATGCCTACAGTGTAACTATGCAATTTCAGTTGCATCCTTAGATGTTATTTTCCAATCACAATAGCATCTCATTTGCCAGTTGCCATTACTTTATTTAAAACCATACCTCTGCCCTCCCGAGGAAGGCACACTGCTACAGTTGGAGTACAAAAAAGATGTTTAAATTATTTCTTTGTTCTTAAATTCCATATTGCAGTGGGATTTTAATTTTCACACTGGGTTGAAGAAACTTTGAAGGAAAGATACCACTAAGATCAGAATTTCTCAGAAACTGACTAAACACAGCTGCATACAAATAACATAGTATGTACCTAGTATGTACATAGTATGCATACAAATAACATAGTATCTCTTATTTGCAGGTGTCATTGCTGTTGTTATATTCATCATTCTCTGCGCATTGGCAATAATGGCAAAGTTTCTGTATCGACGAAAAGAAACCTTCCAAAGCAGAGAAGCCAAGGCACCCGAACTGGATGACAGCCCTGATTTTCCTTTCACCAATGATCCAAACTCACAGAACATACTGAGTGAGAACCAAAAGGAATACTTGATGTGATAAATTTCTCAATGCTGAAGTGAATCAAGATAATCTGGGGACAAAAATGCCTTGCCAAGTCTAAAGACACTAACAGTTAATGTGGAGTATGCATAAGTCCCTGAGTAACAGTAAACACTGGTTAATTGAGTTTAAACAAAAAACAATTTTCCACATATTTTTTATTATTTTTGTATATATATATGCTACTACTTAATATATGTTAAAGGTGTTGGTCCTGGCTTGTAAATATTCTTTACAATGTACATGCTTAATTAACGCATTAATAATAATATCTCGTATTTGCATTTTTTTCAGCTTCACAAAACACGATTAAAGAAATGAATTAAGATGCACACTACCTACAGTTTAATGCTGTTTCATGAAACATAGTGAAACATATTGTCAGATTTAAAAAAATAAATGTTTGAAGTGTTTAGTAGAATGAATTTTGATGTTATAATACTTCTGACAGTACTTTTTGACAGAATTATTTGACACATTTTTATACTTTTTTCTGGATTTCTGTTTTTTGCCAAATTTCATTTGTGCCCGTCGGAACTGCCTGTCAGCAACACTTTCTTGTCTCATAAGAAGCAGAGGGCAGGAGATTCATGCTCCTCTGAGTCATTTGCACAACAGATCACGATATAGTCTAATAACACTAAAATTTACAAGGAGGGGCCATGCACTCCCCGCTGATGACATCAAACAATTATAAGGTACTTGGCAGACCACTGGAGCCTTTTCATCTTTAAAGAGGCTAGTTGATGAGAACATTGTGGTGGACAGCTCTAGCACCAAAGACGAGATGAGCGCATGCTGTAAGAGAACATTACATGCCTTGTATTTTTGGTGAATGTCTGAGGGCTTTGACAGAGCAGGATTGAAGCAGGTAACGTCACTGTTTGGAATGAGGTAACATGTATGCTTGGAATGAGCTCACTTCACAGCAAAAATGTATTATCTGTGTAACAGCGGGAAAAAAACTGTTTATATTTATTTATTGTCTTCTATAAATATAGTACTTGGTTTTGTAATGGTTAAGAAACCAGTATTAATTGAAGTTACATAATGAAATTATTTCTTGATCTTGAATCATCAAATGTAGAGAAATTCAGATACTATATGATACATAATGTTTACACAGTAAGACAGGTGATGTGTCAAAAATGTGATTTTTCATTACATGATTCTGTAAATTAGTGGGGTGGACTTTGATTCATGTAAATGAAACAACTGAATTGTTAAACCATTTTGAAATTTTATTTTCATCCATTAATTATAACAGAAAACATAAACTTGCATACCTGCAAAAAAGGCGATTCCTCACTTTTTTGAAAGACAGGTGTATTGTCCTATTGGAACGTAGCCTTGTTGGTCTCATAAACCAGTATTTATTTATTTGGGGGAAATATTCTTATATTGTAAATTACTTTTGGTCATTTGATTAATTTTCTTTCACTCAGAAAACTTAAAACCCTTGGAAATTAAATTTGTAAGTATATTTTGTAAAGCAATTCAAATTGCATATTACTATCACCAAATATGAAGATGTTTTATTTGTATAATCTAAGTGAGCAGGATCATTTCTCCCAAGACAAACTGATCACAGGAGCAGCTACAAAAACCTTTGCTTATATTTCAGCATCTGATGCTTTTTGATAACAAAAGCTGACATACTAAGATCCCAAATCATGCTGCTATACTGTGTCATCAGAGAAGCTTTATTAGTTCTGTAAACCAGATATACAGATTAGGGGTTTTACATTCACATAAACCGATGTGCAGATTTTATGGGAGGAGAATATTAAAGAATGATGTACACAATATTCTGCCCATCCATCTTCTAACTGCTTATCCTGGTCAGGTTTGTGGGTATGAGTAATATTTTACCTGACAAATGTAACAGTATTCTGTGCCTTCACAGACACATTCATAGGTTCAGTCAAGTTTTCAGTAGAAACAGTATCACTCCTAGCCAGCGTGGGGCCCTAGGTGAGCATCAGCGTCGGCGCCCCCTTTTGGTGGCAAAGTGAGGGTGGCTGGCCCCTCCGCAGATGCCGGCCTAGGTGAGCTATGTCACCTGTGGGTTTGACCAGCCCTGAATGGAAAATAAGTTATTTTATTTTTTTTGTTGTGTCTTAATTCATCCATTTCTTTACTTAGTTTTCCAAGACTCTGACTTGCATTTGTGTGCAACTGTTTGAGACTCTGATGGGCTGCCATTACATCTATGGTCTAACCTAGAACAGGTCTACAGGACTCCTATGTATCCCCAGCACCTGCAGATAATATCCAACCATCTGTGGACCCCATATACAGTACAATGTAATTTTCATGTACATAAATATTCTAATGTTTAATTGATAAATTAAGTAACTCATTACCAATATTAAATAGAGCAGTGTACATTATTATATTATACTGTACTGTACTCTCACGAATGAAAGGGGTTCAGACATTTTAGCCTAAGAGATGATATAGCAATGAAATAATATCATTTATCAAGGAATGATAGAGTAATGAAAGTTGTGGTTTTTATACCCCTTCAAAGGAAATAGGAACAATGAAAAAACAGGCTGCTGCTAATATTGCAAAATATTGTATCATGTACTTGCACATAACTTAGAATGCAAAAAATGTATTTGTTTAAAAATAGCCTATTGTGAGTATTCCTCGGATTAATGCCTGTACTTGCTTGGCGCGTGGTTTGAAACTTACGAACCATTTTTGGAATTTTTTTGGACCACTGTAAACCATGGATATCTGAAACCGCTGATACAGGGTTCCTACTGTATTATAATCCTACATGGATAAGCAGTGGCTGTAAAAATATATATTTATACAAAAGAATATATATGTATAGATATCCCAACATGGCACATTTTTGTCATAGGTCTGCCAGTTTTTATCAATGATGTATGTTCAACCTGGAGCACAGTGACAGATGATTTAGACCGATTGATGCTTGTACATTTTCGAAAAGGCTGGTCTTATGGAGTCCCTTATCACAACATTTTGACCTTTCTCTTTGTATCATCTTATTGTCAGACATTTAGAAGGGAAAATGACATGGAGAAGTACATCACATTTTTGATTAATGATAATATTAAACAGCTGGAAGAATGCCTACTTTGGAGAAAATTGAAGGCACTTCAGAAAAGGTCAGAATATTAAAATGAGTGTTACTAGTTGTTATTATTTCTACAATTGAATATCATTTCCATCTCACATTTGTATTAAACAATGCATGAGAAAAGAAGCACATCAAATATTAAGCAAACACCAAAACATCTTACTCATTGGAATACTTGTTAGAGTAAGGAGACATAGGAGTAGTGCTAAAACAGTACTGCAGAGCAGCTGCAGGCAGGCCAGGTGCTGTGGCATTCAATTAGTGTGTCACACAAAGGGAGAGTGTCTCCCAAAGGTAATGGACAAAAATTGGTGGAGTGGAGTGTTGGGTTAATTTGGCTTACAAATTAATTGGGTAGCTTTTTCACACAAAAGGAGAGCAGTGATATTACTTCAATACTAGAGTCGGCTCAAGCGTGAAAATATCAATATGAATAGTGTTTTATTTTTAAATGGTGCTTTATTTGTTTCTAAGATATCTTGCATATATATGTGAAAATGTCAGTAAAACCATAAAAAGCATGAGGTACACTTGTTTCTATTGACCAGGTCCTCCAGCGCATATCCTTCATTAATTTGAACTTTTTGATCGTTCTGCAAGCACAATGTGATAGTTTTAGCCAAACATATTTCAGCCACAAAGATGCCTTTAGGTGATTTCTTGAAGCCTGGTGGCATTATTCAATGGCCAATTCTTTCTTATTACTGGAGATAAAATCCATCTGTTTGTGTACTGGGCAGAGTACCCTATGTATTGGGCAGACAAATTTGCCCTTTGTAAAAATCATCACGTAAGTTAGCACTCTTCATTACATCTCTATTTAGAAATAATTGCAATATGGGCGATTAAGTCATTTTAACATTTTCACACATGTTGTTCAAATTCCTGCAAGGATGAAAAACAGAGAAACCCTTCCTCCAGTTTTCAGGAACAATCTACAGCATCAGTACTTGTGCACTGGCCATGACACATATCAGAACCTTAAATAAAAATCTGTTATTATAGGCTTTGTTTTGCTGTTCATCCATGATGGACAACCTTCTTCTAAAAGAATTTTTTTGTGATCACAGTGATTGAATATAATCTATTTGAGGGAAAAAAACAACCTTACTGACATGTAATGAAATAAGACAACCCAGCATGCTTTGCAGCTGTTGATGGTCGCTTCTATATGATGATTAATTGCAGAGAAGAGTGGTATTTCTTTGTAACACATTAAGTCTGTGACTTTGTATTTCATGTGCTTTCGTAACAAAATACGATGCTGTAAATATATTACATGCACATAACTATTCTAAGCATGTCAGAAAATAACGGAAAGAGAAATAGCAGCAATCTTAACATAACTGCATTTGTATAATAAAGTGATTTGCAATACTAGTTAAAGGAAGCAGTATATAGCAATAGGAAATAGGGTCAAGATTGTTGCAGGAAATATTTCAACTAAGAAGCTGATGCCACAAAACTAGAGGAAAAAATGTAGAATAGGGCAGAATAACAGAAAGCTCCAGATCTCTTTATTTTAAACCAACCTGACAATAACTAATAAACTTTCATTTTTTGTTCTCCAATCAAGAAACCTCAGTCGCTTTAAATGGTAACAATACCACAGAATTCTGGTCAGTTCAGTAAGTATCTTTGCTGTTTTTGCTTGATATCCGATCATCAAACCTCACTTATGCCTGGGCATTGTCATCTGAATCCTTCCAAAGGTCCTTTATTTCGTCTGCTGGTCAGGATGAGGTGAGGGGGCATCACTCCCAGTATCAGATAATAGACAGCACAGTTTCTGAAGGGATTATGGTGGTATTTTCTCCTCACACACTTCCAAGATGTCTTCATAACATTTTAGCAAACATGCCTAACAATTGTAGCAAGGCATTAGACATAGCCTTAAAACATTTTGTATTAATAGTATTAAAGAGACTAAATAACATGAAAATTGAGGAAATGAGGACAACGGAGTAGAAGAAACAGAAATCATGAAGTCCAGATCCAAAAAAAAAAGAAGAAAACTATGATATCCAACTGCATGTCCAAAACCCAATAAGCAGGGTAATATTGTACTGGACAGGTGCTGGTTCTGAGGTCACACACTGGTGAGTGAGATTAGGCGACACTTAGACAAAGAAGAAAATACGCAGGCATAAATATTACGCATGTTAATGATAGACAGCCACACAAAAGGGTTTGATTAAAACATTTTGAAATTACCATAAAAGCATAGCACGAGAAATGCACTGAAGTACAGCTTGACAGCTTTAACCCTCTTCAATAGGCAATTAATTATGTGCATTTTAATGCACTGATAAACATTTTACATTCAGACCCCAATATTAAAAATATAAAGGAAACCCAATTCAATTGTTTTTTTCTTTTTGAAATACCCATAATGTGTGGATTCATTATTTCATAAAGAATATGTAAGGTATATAAAAAGGGTACATTGTGTGTTGTATTAAAAAAATGAAAAATTGCAACCATCACAGATAGTGAAAAACATTTGGTACTTGAGCATAATCTCAAATGCCAAGTGCTGCTTAAAAGGATTTAAACATTTTACAAGGACAAGCCGACCTTTCCCCTTCACTGAATCATTTAAATGGAAGTTCACTGGGACTAATTTAAAATTCAACTGAATATATACAACAATTGAATGTCTTATAGATATTATACTTCACTATTTATGAATACACATGAAAACACATACATGCGTGCATTCATATGCACATCAAAACGCTCCAGTGTTCTCAAATGTTTTACGCTTTAATTCTGACAAAACATATGCACAAAAGACAACATTAAATCAAGTCTGGGTGCCTGTCCCCACAAACTTACATCTCCTTTGGAAGTCTCCATTACAGGAATGACATTTCAAAAAGGATGTAACATTTTGTCACAAAATGTCTTTACGATTCTGGTTTAAAATAAAATTTTTAAAGGTCTGCCTGCAATGTATGTTCACTGAAACGTGTGGAGGTGACACGGTGGAGCAGGACGGAGCCCAGAAGCCACACATCACCAGCCTTGGTGCGTGAATTCACATTCCCAGTTCTGTGCATGCGGAATATGCATATTATTCCTATATTTGCAGGTATGTGCCGATACCACAATCTATGACATATGCTTAGATGGACTGGTGTCTGTATGAATTGGCTACATTGTCTGAGTGTG